TTTTTTTTTTAACTTCTCGTTTGGCTTTTGTTGCCCCACTTACTAGTAGTGTTGAACTGATTTGTAGCCGGGCCTGGAACTGGCAGTTAAAACGGTTCAGGTTTAGGCGTGATGGGAAAAGTGTAGGAGCAGAATAAATCAGAGGTTATAAACTTAATGTGGGTACCCTATAAGGAGTAGGAAATCGAGCTGATTGCAGCTGGTATTGACCACAAAGCCACCATTTCTGTATTTCAGTTTGCAAGTAGGTAGGTCATTTTGAAGATAATGCTGGGAGTGGCAAAGGACCCTATTCAGAACATTTCCTTTTGGCTTCCATGGGGTTGCTAACTTCTCTTAGTCACCCGGCTGTTGGATTGCGTCCTTAGCGCTGCATAAAAACAACTGAAACGGGCTTAAATCCAGAATGAATGGTGCTACCTGAAGAACATCTAATTTTAAACGTTTATTGTAGTTGAAAACGTCATTCCCAGCTCACGGTTGAGCCATGGAAACGGTATGTGAGGAGAAAGGGACATGCCTAGGAGTCTGTGTGTCTGGTGGGAGTATTAACTGCTCTAAGCTGAAGAGTATATTGATTGGTTGGCTTTCTTTTCAGTAGTACTGCTTACTGCCCCTTTACAAGATGAAGTTTTTAAGAGTCTTTCTGAGTTAGCAGAACTTTATTCCTTTTTTTTGTCTTGCTTCCATACATAACGTTATGATCTTGAAAACTTGAGTGGGGAGGGCAGATGTGTAATGTTATGGTTTAACTTATTTCAGTTTTTACTTGATGTTTACCTGGAAGGATAGAACAAAATATTATAAAAATGCTGGCTGGGCGATGAGATGGAACCCTCAACATGAACACATTAGAGCAGTAATACTAATTAAATATGCATTTAATGGCTTTAAAATGTAACTGAAATGTTCTTTTCTATAGCATTTAATATTTTTGCAGTATAGAAGTGAATACGATTTCTTGATGCTAGGTGCAAAAGTGTGTTTCTAAAGAATGATTTTCCTAGCTTGCATGTTACTGTGGGGCTTCCGCTTAATTAGTAACTATTTGGATTGAGTCACAGGTTTGTCTTGCTCTTCACTTTTAAGCTTAAGCTTAAGACTTAAATATGCAAGGCATAAAGCTAATTCTTATTTGCATGTGAAGATACTTAGCAAAATGCAGACCTGACTTCTTCTAACTTACTCTAAAAAATGGGTAGGGTGGAAATATCAGTTTCTTTTATTTATGTATATATGCATACACGCACACACACACAAATTATATATGTATGAGGGGATGGTTCTTGGAAGAGTTTCAGACTGTATCTCGCTAAATATGTGGATAGCTCTAATGTAGGTTTTGGAGAAGTTCTGCTGTTCTCCAAACCCTTGGGTATTTCTCAAGTTGGCAGTGGTATATTCGTTTGTAGCTCTGGAAAATTCTGAAAAGGGTGAATGACAGGTAACTGCTGTAGAGGAAAGGGTAGCAATATGTGTCACCATCACCAGTTAAGGTGAGAAGAGGGCAATAAATCTGATGAAATGCTTCCAACATGGAGAGTGTTGTGAAAAGAATGGAATATAAATTATCATACAAAATTCCATGGCTCTTGGCTGATTTTCTTGCTCTTTTCAAGAGTGCCTTCAATTTTTTTACTGGTCTCTGGCTGGTAGGCATCCTGTACGTATATGTACATGCACATGTGTAGACACATACACAGGACGTCATTTGTGTAACATTAAGGCTGCGTTATCTAGGACATAGAGTTAACAAACGTGTTGCTGACCTTACGGCACCTGAGACCTCCAGTAGACTTTCTAGTTAAATTCCATTTCTGCTTGAAGCAACCTAATGTGATATGTTGAGTAACCTGTTGAGTTACCTCTTGTTTGAAGAGTGCCCTGAATCAGGCAACTGTCTTGATTTAAATTAGAACTTCTTCTTCTTGTATATAGTAAACTTGTGAATAGTTTATTTCAAGTATTTGAAAAAATGACCTCTGGTGAACTTCCTATTGAATATCTAGATCACATTTCCATTCCATAACCAGTTGCTTGAAGGTTTTTAAAACTGGTCTTCTAAATGTATGTGCTGGCCTTGGAAACTCAAAATTCTGCTGTTTTTTTTTTAGATCTGGTTTTGCTTGTGATGGTTTAAGTATTTCTACTAGCAAACTTACTGTTTTACAAATGTTTAAAGAATAGTAGGATTTCTTACCTTAGTTGATTTTTTTTTTTTTTTTTCTTCCCACGCCAAGTATTTGGCATCTAGTTCAGCTTGTTGGTTATGCAGCGAAGTCAAACTCTTATTACGTGTTGAATCTGCTGAACTCACTGAGAATTTGACTGGGGTAATAACACGGGAATCTTCAGTGCAAGTTTGTCCTAATACTTGTTCAGCAATCTGTAGATGTATTGTCTTTAGTATTATCTAGTAGTCCTAACATAGCTCATCTCATTGAAACAAGATGCTTATGTTGAAGAGCTTCCTTTATAATTACGTCTAACAATAACTTCTTATTTATTGATCAAAAACTTATTTAATTTTATTTATTTTGCAGTAATCTATGCCAGCAATTATGACAATGTTAGCAGACCATGCAGCTCGTCAGCTGCTGGATTTTAACCAGAAACTGGATATCAATCTTTTGGACAATGTGGTGAACTGCTTGTACCATGGAGAAGGAGCGCAGGTAATGTGAAATTGACCCTATGTTTATTGACCATATTCAGTTTTGCAGCAAATCAGAAAAAAATTGATTTATTTCAATTAAAAAAAATAATGCTAATGAATATACTCTGCTGGTGACTAGAATACTGCACGCAATTCATGTGCCCATGTCTAAAGCAGAGCTTGTGTAATGTATGTTGGAAGAACTCTTTGAAAGATATTAGTTTAGTGTGTGTATTTTTTTTTTCTGATAGGGCTTCTTTTGCTGTTGAAATATGCTAGCAGGTGCATTTTGATAAGGGCAATTTCTCTTGCAGGGTGGCTTCCCTATCTTGCTCTTTAAGGAGGTCTGATTTATCTGTTGCTTATTATTATGGACATGATTGAAGCCATAACTCATTATTGGCTTCACTGAAGGATTACATTTGGGGGGGGGGGGGGGAATCTGAATGTTATGGTATTTATATTTACCAGGAAGTGTTTTACATGTATTTAAGGGAAGAGTTTGTCTTTTCTTATCTCTAGTTTCTTTCCATTATTGTTCTTCTATGCAGATTCTTCCCACCTTTCAAATTGGGGGACGTTCGCGCATGTGTGTGTGCATATGTTGTCTTGAAAGTGAATCTTGTGTTGCTTTTATCTAGTTCTTGAACTACTTTGGGGGGAAAAAAAACTTAAGAATGCTGAAAGCAAGTATTGCTACAGGGGTACTAGTGTAATTCTTCAGGCAAGTTTTAGTTGTCTGGTTTCAACAAATCGAAAGTTTGTGTCAAGCATCTCCTGCTAAGATATTCTTGCACCACAATAAAAAATGCAATGAGACAGTAGCTGATGCCTTTCTTTCAATCACTAGAATAACCAAAATATGTACTTGTTGTACTTGTTTTGTATATCTTTGTTTAAAAAAAAAAAAAAAAGACATCAGCCTGTATGAGGCTTGCTGATGTGAACTCCTGAGTTCTAAAATCCCTGGTTTCATCTAAGAATGACTTTTTGCAAAATGTGCACAGTTTGCTAAATTCAAAAGCTATTAGCTTTAGTTTTTAAAATGACCATGTCACAGAAAACTGCTTGTGGCTGTTTGTCTTAAAAGTAGTATGGACTCTCAAGTGTTTGTAAGTGATATGTTTGTTCACCATTCTCACTTAAAAATTAGTAAATAAAACTGGTGGTGTTGGCAGTGTTCTTCGGCGTGAACAGAGCTTAAAAGTTGGAAAGGTTTTTAAGGAGATAGCAGCATGAGAACAGAGGATTAACACTACATAGAAAAATGTTCAAATAGCTGTTGTGCTGCTTTTGGGAGAAGTTGTTTCATTTATGAATCAGTTAGATGGAGTTTCATTGTGATAGGCATCTCTTAAATTTCTAGTATTCAGACAAATTAATGCAAGAAGCAGCAGAAATGGGAAAAGGGACCCTTAACTGGCAAAAGTGAGTTGCGATATAAGCCTGTAAGTGTGCCAATACACAACACTTCCATGCAACTAGGGTTTCATATTGTAGTATATATCTGAAGATGCAGACATTTTCCAGTGAGCACCATGAGTTCTTACCTCTTCCAAGAATGGAAGTTCAGAAGGAGTCACTGCAGGAAAAACTGCTTCTTTGTGGAGTCTATCGCCTCAGAGTATAACTTAAAAGGTGGCAGGTATAATAGAAAATGAAGAAACCAAATATCAAGAATGGTAGATTACCATATTCTTTTTCAGGCAAGTGCTATTTAGTGTGGAAGAACCATTTTGCATGTAGTCTGGATAGCCCAAGCTATGCTTGCTTTCAGATTCACCTGTCTCCTCCTTCCCCTTAATTCTTATCTCTGCTGTGAGCTTGCAAAACTCTATCTGCTGATATACGTTGGGCAAGTAAGAAGTGCTTTTCTGTCAGCCTTTTACAAATTGTTCTGTTCTTAGCCTTTTTTGTCCACAGAAAAGAACCTTCTCCCCCTCTGCCCACCCAGTTCAACACATCACTAAGAAGATCTGAGGCAACTCAAACTTAGATGTTTACCTCTACTCATCCTAAACTCTGAATTCCATTGGTCTTTTAGATCATGTTTTGAAGGCTTATTTGCTGACTTTTTTTTTTTTTTTTTCTGGTAGTAGCAGCAGCACATTGAGATTTCAGTCTTAAGAATTGCTGTATAATCTATAATGTTGGGAATTGATGCCCAAGAAGTGTTGTTAGGTACCACTGGGTATGAAAGCAGACTTTTCAGGGCTTGGGAGAATGATATAAAGCATGTGTACTTTGTTGACATTTGATCCTCTAACATGTCAGCAGTATTAGAAGCACTAAGGAGACCGATATAGAAACACCTCCAAGTTGACTCTGGAACCAATACAGCTATTCTTTTTCTTTTACACTAAACTGTATCAAAGCTGCTGAATTTATTAGCTCTGAAGCAGTATTGTGAGAACTCTTTTAGACCAGAAGCAGTAAAAACAAGTGTTTGTATGGTACTGCCCCATATTGAATCTATGGGGATTTGATAGTTCAAGTCAGCACCAGAGTGTGGGGGGGGTGCTCCATTCTATTAAATAGAGATGCTGTTATTATTGTAGGGATATTTTTGACATCCTTGCTCTTTATTCTTTTTCCTTTAAATTTTAATTAGTTAAATTCAACAATAAATTTGGCTTTTTTTCTTGTATTTTATGTATATAGATTTTTGAGTCTTGGTAGGCTTTCTGTATCTTACTAACAATCAGCATTTTTTTAGCTCAGTTCTTAATTAGCTCGAGTGTATTCATCTAGCTAGCTAGAAATTTGTATAGCTCTAGTGAGCTGTAAATGTTTCTTAAAATACGGTGGGCTTTAATTGCTTTCTATTTTCATGGAATTAGCTCTGCAGTGCTGTTTTTTTAAAAAAAAAAAAAAAAACCACTAAATTCTATTAATTGTCATGTAACTTGTTTCTCTAACTTTGGAAAAGTTCATCTTCTTAGTAAGATAGTGCCTGATGGTTATAGTTGATGTAATTTGCAGCAGGATTGGTTAATTCATTGTATTTTTGGAAATAGCCAATGTTCTTTGGCTCTTTAAAAAGTTGTTTTTGTACATGTAGGCTTGAAAAGGGAATGTAAAATTTATTCAACTGTTATAATGCACAGATGTTTCAGATGAGAAGATTTTGCAAATCACTGAGACTAGAGTGTCTAGTACAATAACTGGTAATGTTGTCTGAAGGAAAAGAGAACCATTAGTTAAACCCATTCCCCTGCATGAATGTTTTTTATTATTATTTATTTTGTAAGCTATCAGATCTAGAAACCAAGACTGTCGCCACCTGCTCTGTGGTTCTTCAAAGTACAATCAACAGTTCCTTTATCAACAATTTTGCAGCATGATACAGTACTCCTTAAAGGTGGCATTTTGTATAAGTGCTCCTAGTAAAACTAGGAAGTTTGAGTGCCATGGAATAAAACTCTATCTATAAATTTTTCCTGAGTTGGTGAAATTTTCCTTTCCTAGTATGTTTTCCCTGTAACCTGTCCTGTTCTTACACGCTCACTCTTACACACTACTGGCATAGATTGGTCTTTGATGGAGGAGTGGAAATAGTTCAGCTGTCTTGTGACAATGCATTTGAGTTTGATTATTAAGAAACGTTAATTATGAGACAAAACATTTAAGTGACTTGTTGCTCCTTATTGAATTGTGACTAACGCTTGGATAAGCGATTTGAAGATGCGTTATGTATTCAAGTCTTCATTGACAGTATATATATATTCTAAAATAATTTAATACTAATACTTTTTTTAATCATGCTTGCTTTTAGCAAAGAATGGCACAGGAAGTCTTGACTCACTTAAAAGAACATCCTGATGCGTGGACAAGAGTTGATACTATTTTGGAGTTCTCTCAGAACATGAATACCAAAGTAAGTAAATTAACTTTTATTTATTTGGTTTTCTCTCTTTCTTCCATTCATAAACTTTGAGGAAGGTATCTCATTTTTAGGCTTAGACTTTCTTGATTCAAACAACATTTTTTACTGTCTAATTCCCAAAGTTGGCCTTAAACAAGAACTGTAAACGGACCGACTACTTAAATCACCTTTTACGTTGGCAAGAGCTCTTTTCCCTTTTTTTCCTTTCAAACAAGGAAGTGCTAAATTAGAAAAAGTGTTTTTTTTTTCCAAGGCCCGTGCAAGCATAATGCCAGTTCCAAAGATTGGTGAGTGGTATACATCTGAGTAATGAAAAGTCTCCTAGAGGCACATTTTGTCCTTGGGTAAGTGCTTGGCTGTCTTTGATCTTAATGAGAGCCATGCGCACATAACTGAGGAGAGAATTTGTCCCTAGGTATGCTAAAGACAAAATAGAAACCTTATTAGGCTGAGATTTTGAGTGATCGATGCAAGTTAAGCACCCCAAACTCTTTGTAGTGTGACATCTAATCTTTACTAATATGCAGAACATGCTTTGTACTGCTAATATAAATCAATCCATCATGGTAGCAGCTAAAGGGACAGCATTCGGTTGTTGTTTACAATTCTACATGTTTTACTCTAATTTGTGAAGCTTGAACAGAAAAGTTGATGGAAATGTGTTTTCACTGTCTTAAGTTTGGTGTTTAACATCTTAAGTCACGCATGTTTTTCTGCTTGATACACACTGTGTTCAAACAGAAAATAATTGTGTTTGGATGGTTTCTGAATTCAGGTGGTATTCATGAAAGAGTTTTTTTTTTTTTTTTAATTGCTCTATAAATTTTAGGGGAAAACAGTTGAAAGAACTTCCTCAAAGTGCTAACCTTTAAGTAACAGTGTTTGCCTGTTTGCTTGCCTGGTAAACTTTGCTTTTTATACTGACAGACATTACTAATGTTTAAGTTGATTTACCAACAGTATTTTTAAAAACTCAAATTTGTCTTGTGAAAAATGAGATGATTAGAGGAACAGAAAGAAAGCAACAGGTAAAGAATTCTTCAATTTACATAAATTGCAAATGATTTGGTGCTAAATTTATGCACTATGACATTTGGCTTTTATGCAATCATATTTTTTCTTTAATTAAAGCTGTTAACACTACCTGATATTAATCATAATGTTCCATTATGTTGATTGCTTGTAATAGGAAGAAAAGGGGTGTCTTCCTGTGCAACTGACACAGCTAGGCTTTGACGGCAGGCCTCCACAAGGTCTACCCTTTTGATTCCCTTTAACTGAATTCTGTTCATCAATTGTTTTTGTTTCTTGGGAGGTGGGAGGGAAAGGGGATTCGGTGCATAGAATAAGTAATAATAAGGGTACCATAGAAATTTCTACCATAGGGATCATTTCATGCTTTTTTTGGTCTTTGCTGTTATCTGTCCCTCATCTTCATAACTCAGTGGATTGCTATTAGATGATTAGAGAAAACAAAGCAAGAACAAATAAATATTTGACTTTTATTGTGTTCAGTTTAAATGTACTTGTGCTTGCAGTTGCAATAGTTAATAAAAAGTGCATTTATGATAGTTCGGGCAGTGAAACTTATCTGTGGGGTTTTTTTGGACTTGGTTTATCTCTTTATAATTTTTGGTACTTTCCACACAATAATCAGTCAAATGAAGCTTAAAAACGAACCAAAAGAAAAACCAGAAAGGCCCTTGCAAGAGTACTTGGTTAGGCTTTATGAGGCCCTCAAACGCAGTATAGCAAGAAGGATGTGTAGATAAAGATTGTATGCGGTGATTTATTTCTACCGTTTCATTTGGCATGCAAATGATAGAACAAAGTGAATATTACTAGTACTGAGGGAAAAGGGTGAGAAGAGATGAACAAGAAAATAGCGATGGGCATAACTAAGTCGGATATGTACAAGAAGACTCAGTAGAGACCTAGACAAGATTGACCTCTTCACAGCTTAAAAGTTTCTGAATTAAATATTTGAGCAGATAATGAGGAATAGGTGTGGCAAACTGTTCTAGTGCTTTCTGTCCTTTTCTTTGACTGAAAGGAAATCCTAAGGAAAAGACTAAAACAAGATTAATTCTGCCCTTAGTTTCTGTCAAGATTTTGTTCCAAGTTTTGTTTAGTAATTTAGTGCTTCAGTAAGGTGAAGCAAAACGTGCAATTCTGATTTTCAAGTCCAGGAAGTTGACCTGTGGGAGAAAAACAGTTTTGGAAGCAGAGCTCTGTAACATCTTTGGTTAGCTGTTACCTGAAAATGTTAACAGGTGTGCCTGTACAATCTGGGACTTTAGCTGTAGTTTAGATCTGTTTCAGGAGCATTGGCACTGTCTGATGTAAATGTTCGTATTTTCAGTGTTGCTAGAAGCTTTTATAATAGCATGTTCTGTGCTGGTAGCCTGGCTCTGGTGGAGATGTCGTATCTATAAAACTGTAGTGTTGACAGAAATTGCTTCCTGTAAAGTGAAGCATTTTGCTTAAACTGTTTTCATACTTTTTCTATATGAATGTTCCCTTGATTTTAATTTAGCTCTAATGTAATTATGTAAATTTACACATTATTATCTAGTTGATAAACTCTTGCTGATGACTACAGGGAAAAAAAACAGTCTACCAGTTTTCTGTAATTGCCTAACTTTTACTCTGTACCCAAGATTTTGGAAGATGACAGAATACTTTGCAAATACAGGATGTGGAAGTGAAGCTGGTGGGAACTTGGGTCAAATAGAAAAGTCTATGGATGTAGATTATGTTAAGATGAGAACAGCAAAAATGATCTTTTAATACAATGTAGTTTGGGACAGTCTACATTGTGTTTTTATTAAACTGAAGTTTATATGATCCCTTTGGTTGAAATGCTAATGATCCTACTTTGTATAACAACTAACCTTTTTAAAGAAGAACTCTTATTCTCAGCCAAATTTTACCTATGAAGATGTAAGTTTACCTTTCAGGCATTAATGTGATATTTTTTTCTTCTTCCTAATCCGCTGCTGATAAAGTAAATGCAGAATTCCTCGTCCCCTTTTCTCTCCTGTCTATTCATGCTAATGGGGTTTTTGCATCTTAAAGCTGTTCAATCATATCATCACAAACTTCTTTCCCTGTTACTGTGAGTTGGCAGTAGGGACAAATGGGCAGAGGAACTGGCCTTACCGATTACTTTGCAAACATAACGGTTTTGGGTAAGAACCTAGGAAGGAATTCCTGAAAGGTAAAAGGATTTCCGAGAGCTTGTTCACATTTTTTTATTGTTCTTTGACTGAGCACAAAAGTTCATCTTTAAATAGTAGAAATAGCTGCCATATTGGGGTGGGTATTGAAATTAAATAAACCTGTGGGTTGTCTTGCTGTTCCTAAAGTAACACACCAGTGAAGTACTGTACTTTAGAAAGTGCCAGTGTCAGTACATGCAATGCTAAGACAAGATTTTTTTCAGCTCTTAGAGGAAAGATAGGAAGCTTGAGACCATCCAAGCTGCTAAATGTTTTAGGAGCCTGGTTCTGTTAATACTTGAACATACGAGCAGTCATTTATGATGCAAACTCATATCTGGCTGCTACTTTCTCTTCTCCAGATAGCCAAAATTGTCTGCCAGAGGGCTTTTTCTTTTTTTCCTCCTGGTGTGAGCATGATCAAACAGCAGGACTTAGTATAGCAAACAATAAAACGAGAAAAAAAAATGCATGAAACCTCAGTAAATGGGTGAATAGGCATTTTTTTATTTAACTAAATTTGTTAGTTTAATATTCCTGAGGTCTTAGATGTTAAGTGTGAATGTCTGATTGAATGAGAGTCCTGAAAGTTAGTTAGTCCTGCAGTAACATACTCACATATTGTTCTTCTCCACTTTCAGTATTATGGACTGCAAATCTTGGAAAACGTGATAAAAACAAGATGGAAGATTCTTCCAAGGAACCAGTGCGAAGGTAGGGAGAGATTTTTTTTTTTTTTTTTCCTTCTTTGCCTCTTACCTTTGCCTCTTATCTTTGCCGTTTAGGCTATCAATCCTCATGTAAATAATTTAAGTCCAAAAATAGTTAGCCTCACTGTATGAAGTTATTAGGCTATCTGTGCTTTTCTGGATGGTGAGAGCACGGCTTTCTCTTTTGTGATAATGTACTCAGTAGGATGGTGAGCACTCACAACTCTTAAAATTTAAAAGGCAGGCCTGATGCTTTTGAGATGCAACTTAACTGCATTAACTCCCAGGCCAAACTTAACCTGAAGCAGTCTAACCTAGGCAGCTGCAGGGAACTAGTTCTGGCTTTGAGGTAGAGCTTTCGATTCTCTCTGCTAGGCACAGGAGGATCTCTTCAGCTGCCTGTGATGGGTCTACAGCCCCATCGCTATGCCCTGATTTTTCTGGCAGACTGAAAAGAAACTTTCCATATGCTACCGGTTGGACAACGCTGATTTATGAGACTGACTTTTCTTATGAAGTTGTAAGCAGTCATAATCATTGCAAGATAGAAACACTAAGTAAAAAGTCTTATCTGTCCATAGTCACTCTTCTAGGTTGCAAAATACTCTGAAGTCTGCTCTAATTCATGTAAGTGTATGTGCAGCTAGTTGGTTGTAACTTGAAACGCAGCGTAGGGCAAACTCCAGCCTTCTGTCATTGCATGGAATCTCAAAATCTTAAAACGCTCTTTTGGTTTTTATGTTCTCTGCCCTATGCCTTATAATCTGTGTTAAACCGTAGAGGTTTTCTAGTATAATACTGAATGGAAATACATTCTGTACACTTCTACCGTCTGCGATACAGGATTGGTGCTTGGTCATACAGCTTTCTGTTAAGTCATGATAACTTGGATTTCAGACTGTAGAGTGCAACTACTTTAAATTCTTGACATCACAAAACTTGAATGTTGTCACCATTCCACACTTCTGTTTTGTTACTCAAAGCTGGTTTTCGAGCTTATTCCAAATTTTTACGTTCTACTGTGAGCCCTTCCTTAATAGTGCTAAGATGCTGTTGGAATTTTTACTGCCACTGCTTTTGCTCCGAAACGATATTGATGAGAAGATAACTGTAAGTCAATGAAAAATGTGTGGAGAGAGGTTTCGCCTTTTTGTGATTATTTTTTCTTCTATTCTTCCCCCAACTGTAGGTTGACAGGAGCAGCATAGGTCTTTTTGGCAGGGGAAATAAGGTGTCCTATGTGTTCTGATATTGGAAACAATCTTGCAAACTTTAGGAAACAGTTGCAACTAAGGCTCAAAAACAGTTGCATTCTGTTGAGAAACTGTAAGGGAGCACCCTGAAGTTGTCTTCTGTGTGCTGTTAATAATTAGGATGAGTGAACTTATTCCTATTTTTCTACGTTCCTATGACCACTCAGTTTCAGCATTTGTAAGTGGTTCTCTTAAACATTTTTGCTGTTGGAGCAGAACAGGGAAAAAAGGAAGGAGTCAGAATGAAGGAGTTACCAACTCTGCTTACCTCTGCATGCTGGTGAAGGGAGGTATAGTAGAATAAGAGATAACACAGACCTATTTGATAGTTTGAGGCCGAACAAGCGTCAAATACAGAATGTACTTCAGCAATGATAAGTCTTAAAAATATGTACTCTGAATGCATAGAATAGATGATACGTAGTCAGATAGCTTGAGGATCTTGACTGCTCTTTGGGTCATCTTACCACATCTGTTCTTGAGACACCGAAATACTGGATACATGCCTGTTAAATGTGTTGTGAAACTGATATGTTTGAACTGGTGCTTTCTATGTTGTTACTTGGTTGCTTGCAGGCATGGTAATACTATTTGACTAGTTGCTGTCACCTGAGAAGATACAATAACCATAGCTTAATACATTACAGAGCAAAACAGAGTTACTCTCTAGTTGTGCAATCATCTGTTCATCCATTACTCTCAGTGTTCTACCTTTTCTGAAGACGTGGGGCAGGGGGAGTATCTTTCATCCTAATAAATACGTGCCTTTCCATTCAACCTTTAAAAAGAGGAGCCAGATATGTTTAGTGTGCAATGGCATTTGCTCCATCTTGGCCTCAAAGCGTGGGAAGGAGAAAAATAGTATAAAATCTACGACCTGAATGTTGCTTCTCTACTCTGTTTTCATCTGGTCTGTTTGTGTAGTGTGTGTGTGTTGGGGGGGGGGGGTGTTTTGGGTCAATTCCTGCCCCCCCTTTTTTTTTATGGCTGATATAAAAGACATGTTCCTCTCAGTTCGTTCAGGCAATTTAATTACCTGGGAGGTGGTAAGACTGGTTCAGTTGAGGCTTACTTTATTCTGACTCTACTGATTCCATTGGCAGGATTCTTCCTATTTGAAGTGTAGCTAGTAAAACGTTGGGTGCAAGAAATTGAAACACTGTAACAAAGTCATAGTAACAAAGTACTTCAGGTTTTAATTGAGGTGATATTACTTGTGTCTTATTGTCAAACACTGACATGTCTGGTTCGATTTGTGTTGCAAATACATTAGCTGACAAACTCACTTTCAATTAAGGAGAAAATAAATCTTTCAGAAAATACTGGTTTCCACTTGTAGCAATAGCAGCGCTTAAAGATTTAAACTTAAAAGTAAGTCTGATTAGAGCTGTGAGGGGGATAAAAACAGTTACTGGAACTACTTGTCTGAAAATTTTTGGGTAAATAAACCAATTTCATCAACTAGCACGAACTATAATTGTGTTGAAAGTTTTTCTAGCTCAGTGTGAAATTGTACATCAGAGCAACTTGTTGGTTCTTGCGAATAAGCCGGGTTTTGTTATTCTGTCTGGATGTTGGGAACTTTTAGCTTCCAGGCTAGAATTCTGAATGCAAGTAGGAAAATACACCTTTCCTCAGAAGCTGTGCTCTCTGGGCTAGGATCTCTGTTCTTAAATTTGTTTTTATTTTACAATAGCTTTTAGTCTTGAGCTATTCTGGCACTGGTGCATTTTAACTTGTAAACAGTTGTACTCTTCCTCAGGTATCATTTATTTCTAAAATTGATGAGGATTATAATCACTTTCTGGAGAGTTCATCTTTATCCTTCCAAATTCTAAACTAGGAATTAGGCACAACAACTTAAATTCTGAAACACTTAAGAGATCTTAGTGATTATTCTGCTTTTGGGGAGAGTCTTGGGATCTTTTTTTTTTTTTTTTTTTTCCCCCTTTAGCAACTGACAGTTTGAACTAATTCTGAACTGGTTATCTAAACAGAAGTAGGATGTGTAGAACACGGAATCCTTGAAGTTCAGTTAGATAAAGCAGGTGTCTGGCCCGTACGTTCAGCATTCAGGCATATGGAGTCATGGTTCATAGCAATGAATTAAACTTGCCTTTTAAAATGTACGTAGGCTCTAAGAAAATATATTGGATTGCTCTTACATGTATACAAATGATGTGATACATGGTTTTCAATCAAAAATTTTTTGAAGCTGCTTTAGTGGAGGGAAACCAGGCATATTCCAGAACACCCCATGCAGTGATAAACTTGGCTTATTTCAAGAGTATTGAACTATCACTCTAAAATAAAAATATCAGATTGTGAAGATATCAGACTGCTTTAAACTCTGATTCTCAGTACAGCAGATTGTTTAATAATGGTTACTTTACGAAGGATGTCGCTGGATTGTAGTGTTAGGGTCTCAATAGGATTTTCTTTTAAAGTGTAAAGCCTGCTGAGAAAGGAAGGTGGCTTGGTCTTCCAGTTTAGAGAGAGATTTCATTATTCCTGCAATATGAAATGAAATTCTGTTCCTGTGAACAAGAGAGAGCTTGTCTACAGTGTTTTGAATTGGAATGGATAAGCACTTTTACATTATGAAATGTGAATTGCTTGTGCAGCTTCTCATTTTCAAATTGAAGAAATTGAAGTGTTCAGAGATGCAGTTTACTGGCTCACAGGCAAAACCTAGAGCAAAGTATAAAGGTTTTGATCTAGTGGAAATTATCTCCTGTAAAGGAGGCTTTTTCTGGGGAGTGCTTAAATTTCTTTCTGTAGTTATACAGGCATGCTCCGTGAGGGGAGACTTCCCCCCCCACCTCCGTATTCTGTGTAATGAAGTGAATGTTGATCTATATGGAACTTGTATGGGGGCGAGGGGGTGGGGAGAGGAACAAGATCTATCCTCCTTCTTCTTTCTAAGAATTTTTATGAAGGCTGTTTTGTCCAAAGCAAATAGATATGGATTGATCGGGTTCGTCACTAAGGGTGAACGATCTTTGTGACAACAGAGTAAACCATTGTGTCTTAAGACTAAAAAGACTTATGAAGTTTTGGGACTACTCGTGTGGCTTGTTCAAGTAAGAATAAGCTTCTTACAAGTGTCTCGGGGGGGGGCTTCAGCTTTAGGATTTGAAACTCTAATTTTGGGTACAAAATAATGTTAATTTGCTGAGTTATATTGTCTACCTGCTTAATTTATGCCTCCTGTTATATTCCATATAAATGGAGAATTTGTTAATTGTAGTTAACTAATGCCAACACACTTTTGCAGTATCAACTGTTAACATTTTTAAACACTTGTTAAATAGTGTTTGTGCTGTAATTGTATAAAAGAGTGTGCTTGTATGTCTTCAGACAAAACTACTTCTCATACTTCAGATATGTGCTTGTGTTACTGAGGTGACTGCGCGTTGTGTGCATTCATGATAATGTGCTGTAATTCTGTCACGGTAGGCGTTATTCTGAGCTCAGGTTACTTAGTCTAGGTGAAACGTAAGTGTTCTTAAAAGTATCATTAGGAGATCAAACTATAGGATTTTTTGTGTTCCTCAACGTAGAGTGGATGCAGAATTTACTGAAGTTGGAGAATGTTATGTTCCTCATGTCTTATTCTGCTGTAACTGTTGGATAGCTTGAGTCACCTGTGAAACCAGTTTCCCTCCAGAAAGGGTTTCAATTTATGCATGTGGGCTGTGTAGAGAGAACACCTGCAGAAGAGCTGGTGAGGAGTCAGGTGACTGACAGAATCTGTGATAGTAGCCCTGGTCTCAGCTCTTCTGAAACTGACCAAAACTGGTCTCAGCTCTTCTGAAACTGACCAAAACTGGTCAGGGCCAGACATGCATATCTTGCTTGGACAATAATATCTAGCCGCTTTGCAGCACGTAACTGCTCAAGCATTGCGTAGTCGAGATAAGGAAATAGCTCTAATAGATAAAAGAGGCCCTTAGGATACACTAAAGTGAATCCCACCTAGGCATTTGACCCATCTGTCCAGCAGCTGCCCTTCTGCATGGTTCCTGGGACTCCCTGCATGGTTAGGAGTGCAAGTCCTAACAATCTTAACTTGTTTAACGCTTCACATCTCGTAAGTGTCTGTTTCGGTATCCGACCTTCCTTTCTCACCTTACAGTCACAGCCTGCCTCTCCAGGAAGAAGCAGCTTTCAGCCAAGGGCTACAGTATCTAATACTCATGGAGAAACTTTCCAGAAGGTCTTGAATTAGAGGAGTGTACTTGTTATATTACATCGTCCTTGCTCTATCTGTCTTTCATGCTTCGCTTACCAAAAAATGCTAAACAAGGCACCAGTCCAGGCCTGATGATGATGATGTCCAGCCTCTCTGATAATTAGGGCATGGTCTGACGTTGGAGCTAGGTTGAGTTACGAGCTAGCTGCTGTGGAAGATGATGTTCCTCATCTGTCTGTGTGTGCTTCTTGATGTCTTTGAGCCAGCACTGGTGCTTGTCTAGCCCTTTAGCGAGCTAATTCGGGGAGCTAAACTGTTAGAAGGTAGTTCTAAAGTGATTTTTAAACTAAATTTAATTTCTCCAGTAATGCTAGTTTTCTACTAGTCTGGTCTCTGAAGAAACTCGTGACTGGGTGCTAGGAGCACCAGTGCCATCTCAGTGAAGGTGTTGGAATGGAGAACAGGGACTGCTCACTGTGGTTGCAGGTTGTCATGAGATCAGCTTAGCTTTTGTCAAATGGGTCCTTGGAGATGGGACACGTTTGTCCTGTGTATTGTGGTTTGGGTTTTTTGTTAGTTTTCTGGAAGATCTGTTTTCCAGGAGCAGCTGTCTCTAAGTCCAGTGGCTCAACAAAGGGTCTGAACTTGACAGCTTTGTTCTTATCTTCAAGACTTGTTCAGCTGCTTCCCTGACTGAAGGATATCTGTGTTCTAGGTAATTGTTGTGTGGCTTGTGCATGCACAGTGCCTGCCTTCTTAAAAATAAATGCTTTCATTTAAGTCCGCAGAACACACTGAATTTAGGAAATACAATGGACTACTACCCTAAAACAGTTTCTTGGATGTTTTCCGCTGAAAAAAATGTAACTAGCACATGTGTTAATTTTTGTCAGAGTATAAACTTAAAATATTTGTTTTTCTACTCCGTATTATTTCATCTTCCTATGGAGTGATTAAAAAAGCTACTTAATTTTGAGCAGAAAATATAATACTTCAATAAACAAAATATATAGGTATGTAGAAAAGCATAATTTAAGCCAAAAAAACAATTAGGGAGTTGGATAGTTTATGCTTTTAAAGGATCAAGAATATGTCTTTGTTCACTGAATGGGCGTCCTTAAAAGCCTACAGTGTTGATGTGATATTTGAAACCTAGTGATCCTTTCGTATTGTCTTGCTGAGCTGTGGTCACCATTTTTGCAATGGAGAAGCTTTGGAGCTGAACAACAGTTTTCATCTGCAGATGGTCTCGAGGCCAGGTTAGCGGTAGCACAGCACTATTCAAGTAGTAACTGGACAGCCCAATTCTGTTGATACAGCAAGATAGAGATACTGCAGCTTTGGAGTCAGAAGTCTTAGGAACAATGCTCGCCACAAAGAGTTGCAACAATAGGCCTCCCTTAGTGGCCAGCCTTAGTGGTTTGGCAGACAGTTATAGTATGATAGCTTTTGGCACTGTAAACTTGTTGCTCTGCTATGTTGGGGACTTCGTATCACATTTGTGAAATATTGTAGTGCTTCCTCAAAGTTTGTAGGGTGTTTTTTTGTTGAGTTTTAAAATATCAGGATAGTGCTATGATGTCAGACAAAGACCGGTACTTGTTAATAATTCTCTTCCAGTGGCTGATGGTGATACTTGTTTTGTTAACAAGTGTTTTTTGGCATAGCATGGATTGATCCAAGCTTGTAACGATGAAGAGATTCATTTGTCAATGGATCTACCTGTAGAACTGCTCCTGTCTAGTGTGTGTCTAACAGCTGAAAGTCTAGACGTAATTTTTCCAGGTTTCATGAGAACACAAGTACAAAACTGAACAAAACCATTCCCCTTTAGCTCAGGCCTGAAATCAGGTCCTATAGCTCAGGCCTGAAATGCCAAAAATGTCTAATTTTGCAAATGTCTGATTTTGGTAAAGTCTTACAAGTCTTGTTTATAATAGTGGGTAAGACCCCATGGGGGAAGTGAAACATCTTGAACATGAAGTATTCTTCTTTGTAATCTTGACAGCTTTTTTTTTTTTTTTTTTTTTAAAAATCTTCATGGTATATATTTGTCTGCGTGAGTCAGTTGGCTGTCCTGTTGAAGAAAAAAGTGAAACCAGATTTTGGCTTCGTGCAGCTGATTAGCAGAATATTTTCATATTCTAAAACTTTTCTATGACGTGAAAGTTCTTGCCCAGTTTGAAAGGTTTAATCCCTAGCGTGCTAAGATTTGATTGTCATGTCAAAGCCAAATTGAAGCAGGCTGCTCTTAGTAATGCTAACCTCGTTCGTGACTCCAGATCTTCTGTGCATGTTTTTTCTTGAAATTAGACATATTGGACAAAATGATTGTGGACCTGTGTATCAAAAGTCACTTGCAAATCCATTGTTTCAAGATCTTCAGTGACTGATAGGTTTAATAGTGTGAGGGTTGAGGATTAGGTGACAAGAGGGAACTTCAAGCAGTATAGTATACTACAAACCTCAAATTTTTTTTAGTGAATCTTAAAGCTCCTAAGTCACTTTAAAATACTTGGTAGCAGAAACAGACAAAATGAGTGTTTTATATACGGTTCTTGTTCACAGTTGACATGATCTTAATTTAAGGGGAAAAAAAAGACAATAAACCTAAGTTCAGAAAGGGATCCTGTAAACCGTAGTAGCCTCATGTGGTATAAAAGCACAGCAGTCGAAAGGCAAGTGAAACAGACTATGTGGATGAATGGAGTTTTACGAAGTTTTTTTTCTTGTAATGTGCAGGCAAAACTTCATGAAGATGAGGCATGATGTTTAGCTTTTAAGCGCTATGCATTTAAATTCCCTATATAAAAGTGAATTGGCTAAATAAACTGGAGTATCTCTGAAGCTTTACATACACTGAAGACATTTCACCAAAGCTTTCCTGCAATTCCAGCTAAACGGTATTGAAACTAGAGTTATGCTTAGAAAGCTTTATTTGTTTTTTTGAAGTGTGCTTTATTGAGAAGAATTAGTCAAAAAGGTGGTAAAGGGCTATTTTTTTGTATTGTCTCCTGCCATTGTAAACATCTTTTAGCTGAAAGAGTAAGAATGTGTTTTGTGGACTTTGGAGTTGTTCGGTATGGCCCAAAAATGCATAACAGGTAGAAATGCATTTCACTGAGGGAGCTCTACAGCAGCGTTTGTAAGCACCTATCAAAATACCTGTCGGTGCCTGGACAGTGCTAGATGCCACCTCTCTGTGTTCAGCCTAATAGTGTTCCGCAGTGCTACTAGTGCGGTGTTTCTCGCTATTTCCTGTAGCCTTAAGGAAACTGGTAGACTGATTTGGGGTAGATCGCTACAAGTATAAATGCAAGGAGTTAGCCTAGTCCTTAGGCTGTTTCTTTTATTTTGATAAAATAGCTGAAGCCTAGTATCATCTTGTGCACTTGAAATATTCTCCCGAAGAACTGATAAAACAGGTATATTATTTCCAAGTAGCCCACAAATCAAGAGTGGTATACATCTACACGTGCACATGTTCTTGAGAGATGCTTCTTTTTAAACAGATGTGACGAATCTGAATTCAAAAGTATTTATTACTACATTCATGACATCTGACCTAGTTGAAAATCAATTCTCAACTCTTCTGCAGGTATCAAAAAGTATGTTGTCGGCCTAATTATCAAGACCTCATCTGACCCGACATGTGTGGAAGTAAGTGAATTCTCTTCAGGGGAAGAAGAGGGAGGAGAATGTTATTCATAACCTGACTCTCCTTTTCTCTTCTCCAGAAAGAGAAAGTGTATATTGGGAAACTGAATATGATTCTTGTGCAGGTAAGCTGAGTTCATCAGGTTTTTAGTTTTGTCTTAAAATTGAATATGGTGAACAGAATACATGATTTTACACTTCCTTTCCACTTACTTGTGTAACTTATCCTGTGGATGTTTCAATTTTCAGATACTGAAACAGGAATGGCCGAAGCACTGGCCAACTTTTATAAGTGATATTGTGGGAGCAAGCAGGACGAGTGAAAGCCTTTGTCAGAACAATATGGTGATCCTGAAGCTACTGAGTGAAGAAGTGTTTGACTTTTCCAGTGGCCAGATAACTCAAGTAAAAGCTAAGCATTTGAAAGACAGGCAAGTATATGTGTTTAATGCTTAATAAATAGGATATGCTCTGTGCTTGCTGCTGAACAGTTGCTCTCTAAGCTTTTGACTAAATACCTACAGTTATCAAATTTTATTTTTGAGTTGAAGTGGAATACTGTTTTCTCTTTAAAGCAGTATTGTTAAGTGATACCAAAATTCCTTTGTGCGAAGGTATTTTTGCATCATTGCAAGTAGCATCTGTTGACAGATGGTCCTACCCTTTAAACAGAGCATTGAGCATTACTTATGTTTCCAAGCTGGAATTTGCAGGCACAGACTTAGGGCACTTCAACAAATGTGTTTTTCCTATCAAAATTGTTAATTAGGAATGCTTCTATAGACCTAGGTCTCCAGAACCACTTCTGTGACTGCAGGTGCTTTGCTGGATAGGATCGTTTGTGAAACATGGTAATGCTTAATTTTCAATTTCTGTGTGTTTTACAGTATGTGCAACGAGTTCTCTCAGATATTTCAGCTGTGTCAATTTGTGATGGTAAGTCTGACTTTCATTCCACTGGGTTTTTGTTCCTGTTTACTTCTCCCTCCCCCATCGTGCCTAGTAATGTCTGTTTAATAAACGCTAGTGGTCCTGTTGCAGGAAAACTCCCAAAATGCTCCCTTAGTTCATGCAACTTTGGAAACTTTGCTGCGATTTCTGAACTGGATTCCCCTGGGATATATATTTGAGACCAAGTTAATCAGCACACTAATATACAAGGTACTCACGTAAAAAAAATGATGGCTCTTAAATTTAGTAGTTAATAAGAACCTGAACATACAACACTCTTGTAATATGCTTAATTTTTCTTTTCTCAATAGTTCTTAAATGTTCCCATGTTTCGAAATGTCTCTTTGAAGTGCCTCACAGAGATCGCAGGTGTCAGTGTAAGCCAATATGAGGAACAGTTTGTAACACTTTTTACGTTGACCATGATGCAGTTAAAACAGGTAATGTTTTTAATACAGGTAATGTTTTTAATCTCTTTCTTTTGACTGTTTCATATAGGGAAATTGATCTTTTATAAAACCTAGTTCAATTTACAAATTCACATTGAATATAGAGGTCTTGGTGGAGAAACACTCTAGGTACTGAAGTGTGTCATTTAATCATATTTACGGCTTGATCAAAACATGCTAAACGTGTTATTTATGACTCTAGGTTATAGCTGTATTTCTGCTAGGTTAATTTGTGCGGCTTAATCCGAGAGAATTTTTGAGGGTTTGGGCTGCCTGGGGAAAACAAAGAAATGCAACAAAATGCATGAGTCGTAAGACCTAGTTCATTTTGAAAGCGAGGGAAGCTTTTTTCAAGGATTTTGAGAAAAAGCTAATAACTCATGTACTAAACTGCTCATGGAGACCACAGAACTACATCATTAGGAACACTGCTACATGTGGCATTGTCAATGTGTTTGACCTGTCGATAAGACCTTGTTAACTATCCATGTAAGCTACAATCTCCTGCATACAACCAATGCATCATGCTTGTTCAGTCTCTTCCTAAGCTTCGTATAAGACAGATTCTGTGCCAGTCTCCAATACTGGGAAGGATGTATTTTTAGACATGAAAACTAGGAAGACTTCTGAGGAGTCTTCTGAATAACCTTAAATGTAGTTATGTTTACAAGAACTACCTATGGACCCAAACTGTTTCTGCTGACTTGAAGGCAAGTTGGCTGGCTGTGAGGATAATTGACGCTATTAAAAGCAGTTGATTTTAATTCTTCGTCACGGTTATGTGTGTGAATATGCATTGTTTCATCATTAAAAATGCCACCTTGAGATCTGTGGCTCGTTTGTAAATTAGAAGGTCCCTTTGACATCCAGCACTTCTATTTTGAAGGTTATAATAATGCCATATTTTGTTTTGTTCTTCCTCGGATGATTATATCTCGTATAACTTTCATTAAATGCAGTATCGTTACTAGATACAAAGAACTTCTCTTGCATTTCTAAACAGCTTGGACTATATGGCTCACCTTCTTGGTGTAGGGTGAGGACTATGTAAGGAGAACAAGATCTGAAATTTTGTGCTGTTCCATGAACAACTGTTTTTACTGTAATGAAATAACTGATAGACTTACTAGAGGATGCAAATCTTTGTAATTTAGTTCTGTTTTAGATGAGGTTCTTGCCTAGTGATCCTCTAGCTAGCAGCCTTATCCTAGGATTTCAGTTTTTATTGTAAAATTTTTAAATACTGTATGTGACAACTTAGCTTCTCCTAGTTCTTTTGTTTACATAAAATGTGGTGTTTCTGAGGAAATGCGATATTGTCACTCCCCAGGCTTAGGGGAAAGGAAGGTCGCCTCAAACGTATCTAAAATAATACTATGAAACCAAGTATGCTGTTGCTGAGATTCTCAGATTACAGCTGAGTATGCTGTAATTCTTCAAAATAGAAAATGAACTGTTTCTTTATTACAGACCAAGTCCACAAACTGCATAGGCTTCCGTTTCCTGTTCTTTGCTGTTGCTATGCAAATTGTTTTACTGCTGGTTTTTGGCACTGAAGTATGAAGACTTGGCTCAAGCTCATCTAAACGAGCAAAGAATGTGCTTGATTCCCATTTGGTTGGATAGGAGGGTAGAATGTGTTTCTTTGACATCCCTCTGCCTTGGTTTTGTCCAGTTTTGCTGTTTTGATTATAGCGAGCTGTGATTCAGATTCCTTCAGCAGAAATCTTAGTATCTGAGTTCTAAGTGTGAAAGGTGCAGGAGTTAATTTTGCTGCCAGTGTTTTATTCCTTGCATCTTTTGGGTTGTCCTCTGTTTTGAAATATTGGTTAATAACAGCAATAATAATGGTTTTGTTGTTGTTTTTAGCCACTTTAATTACCACGGAAATAAGCCTTCTTAAAGGTAGTTTTGAGGCTGCAGCAGCAGGCTACAGGCAGACACTGGGTCGAAAACTTTAAGCTAGCACTTCAGAAAAGGTGCACTGTCGTAAGATCAAAAATAGTTCTTAGAGAACATATCCTGATATGCTGGGGTTGCACGTGAGGGTATCTGTCTTTGACTCCTCTGGAGTATCGGCAGAAATTCTGGGGATTAGCTGTTTCTACCGGTTGCTTCTGGAATCAGCAGCGGATTAGTAAGTAGCATTTACAATGTGTGCTAGGCAGGTGAGCTACTGCTGTTGCTCAGCGCTCGTTGTTTAGGCTTATTCAGATGTGAGATATTTGTACTGAAGTTCTCCTCCATATTTTGAGGGGGAAGGAAACGGGAAAAGATCCTTCTTGTTTAACGTTTAATGGAAGATATTCTCATGCCCAGGTTGTTCATTTAGAGCATTTTTTAACACTTGGTCTTGTTGATTCTGTTTTTAGTGTTTATTTGTTTTTTTTCCCCTCCCCCTGCCTCTGTTTTGCTCTGTTTCTTTCTTTTTTTCTTTTTCTTGGTACTCTAGAACTACCTAACAGGCACGCTTCTACTTAAGTCATGCCTCCCCTTTCCTTCCCCACCCTGTACAGGCTTCAGGTAGACCTATAAGAGTTGTATCTAGTTAGAATAAATCTAATGTTAGTTTTACAAGCACCAAATTCATCTTATGGATGAGGTGGGTGATCACTATTTTCTCAGTTTTTGCAGATGGTGGTCTTGATTATAAATAGTAGTACATCCGGCCTAAGTTTTCTTAAAACATCAGTTGAATGCCGGATTGACTATCTAGCATAATTTGCAGCTTGCAGGTTTTTAGCATTGCATAGTTGTTGTATCTGAATTTGATCAGAATTGTTGTATTTATTACCCAAACTTGAATTTTTTTTTTTTTTTTTAAATCTCTTAGCTTTGTAAAACAAAGTGTTAGAGAACAAACACAGAAATCTGGCAGCAGTGAAGGCGTTAAACTTTTTACTCTTTTTACTTACAGCGTTGATGTTAAAGAATGTAACTTGCTACTCAGTGCCCATGTTGAAAATGTTTGATTTGTGTAATGAAAGAATTTAAAAGCTGGGGCATCTCACAGGAGATATTGCAGAGATCCATACCAGATTACTGAAAAAATTCCATCTTTTGAGAATATTCCTTTCCAATTTCTAAATACTGTGGAGGACATCTGTCATGGTGGTTCTACAGTTACGATGGTATAATGTTTTGAGACTTAATGCTGTCAGGGACAGCTAAAACATTTTTAGAACAACGTTGCCTGATGTCTGCTGAAAGATGCTTTTGATAGGGTGTATACCTTCCTTTTTTCTAGCTGCTGTTTTATGAGAGATGAAAAAGGGCTGTTTAGTTTATTAAACTATTGGTATTTGTTTACATTTTTGCCTTACAGTCCATCTCAGGAGCGAGGAAGAAGGGGATGCAATGAGAAGCAGTAATTCTTTTTTTTCCGAAAAGAATAAAATATTTGTTTAATACACAGTAGTGTTACTTCTGTATAAAACAGGAAATTCTTGATTATGTCCATGTTCTTTTTATTAGATGCTTCCTTTAAATACCAATATTCGACTTGCATACTCAAATGGAAAAGATGATGAGCAGAACTTCATTCAGAATCTCAGTTTGTTTCTGTGCACGTTCCTCAAGGAACATGGTCAACTTATAGAAAAGAGATTAAATCTAAGGGAAACATTAATGGAGGTAAGTGATTCAGTTTATCTAGTTTAAAAATATAACCAGTATGTTTTCATACTCATATCTCAAAGGATGTGTTTGCTAATACAATCTTTAGATCACTGCGCTTAATCGTGATTAGAGGAAGAAAAACTTTCCTTCCTGCACGTAACAAATCCTACGAGTACAAGAAAGCTTTAAAAATTGTTTCCTAGCATGTTTTAATGGCATTTTATTCTCAGTGATCCTATGCTCATAAAATGTCTGAAGACCACAGGTCTGTTTTCTCCTTATTCATCCGAGAGACACCATATACTCTTTTTCCATGGTTCTTTACGTATGGTATTTTGTTTTTACCCCTTGTGTAGAGAAGGTGTTGCTATGTGTATGAAGCAGCTCACTTCACAAAAATCAACCTTTATTCCACATCCAAACCTGGTTTCTAGGATACGGCACATACAGGAATTCTGTGCTTCTGTCCTGGTGTAGCTTCATGCCTGCCGTGCCACTTCCCAAAGTTTAACTGAAAGGTTTTAAATGAAATCCTCCAAGTCAGTGTTCTGTTCCTATGCGATACAGACAGTGTATGCCAGTAACGCTTAATGGCGGAGCTCTGCCAAACTTTTACTTACTATGCACCCTTTATTGTAGTATTACTGGTCTTGGAGGAGGACCTACAAGCCTTGATCTGTTATCTTGTAAGATTTTCAGTTTTCCTCTGTCTCTGCTTGTTCCCTTCTTTTCTTGGTGACCGCATCGTTCTTTTCAGAGAATGCGGAGCAACTTTACTGTCAAAATTAACAGGATCTATGGTAATGAAAGTAATGGAAATTCAGCTAGGAATGAAGGGATGGGAAGACTTCAGTTCTAGATAACTACTAAACATTCAAGTTACTATCCCGTATTGTAGTGGGACTGTATCAGAGCAGTAACATTCTAATGTCGTCTGCTGTTTCTGTGGGGGGGGGGGGGTGGTTTGTTTTTTTTTTTTAGCTGAATGAAGCTTTTGCTGAGGGTCAGCTGTTCTGTGGTGGCTTTTTGCTAGCGCTCTATTCCAGTTTAAACCTGGAGAGCAGGTTTCGTTCTGAGGGGGAAGCACATCTTGTAGATGGAGTAGTTCTAGTATAACAAACATCCATCTGAATTCTGTTCTGTGTTCCAGCTAGTAGTAGTGTGTTTATTCTATAAAAGTGTGTATCATAAGTTGTTTGCAAATAGCAAGTTGTACCTCATTTAGAAGATGGACTAAGAGGAGTATCATTTCGTTTACTAAAAAAAAAAAAAAACAAAAAAAACAATTGAAAAAAACAAAAAGAATCACTGATTCCCAAATAGTTCTCTAAATCAAAAGGATTAAGTTTTTTCCTAAATAACTGAATCAGGGGAGCACAGCTCAAGTTTCAGCTTGTGTTAGAGGCTGTGTCATGAAGACCTGTGTGAACAGCTGAAGTAGTTTTGTGTCCTATGCAACTACCTGTAAATTAGGGTGCAGTTTTTAGGTCTTGCCTCCTAGGTATTGTCGGGCATAACTCTGTTAAATTCTTCTTAAAGATGGACATCTACAAAACTCAGTTCTGAATGTCTTTGGGTCTTGTGTACAATGTTGAAATGTTTCACAAATGTCTTTAGCTGGTTTAAAAATGTTAAAAAAATTCACTTTTCTAACTTGCAGTGTAATAGGACTTTCGAAAGTAGTTGTACGGCTAACCTGTTCTTTCCTGTGCTATGGATGTAGCCAGTCTTCTGGAATTGCCCCACTGATTCATGGGAGCCATTTCCACTAATGTGAAGAAATTTGCATAAGTTATCGCAAGTGAAATTACAAAGAAAAATCTAATGTGTATACGGGACTAGTCCTAGGTTGTTTTGAATGCCTCTTTTTGACATTGTAGATGTGGATGTTGAATCAGCTCCTTACAGTCTAGTCTAAAATGCTTTGAATCACTGTGGTATCTGGCCTGTGAAAGTATACTTAGATTTCATTGTTTCCTTCTGTTTTGTTCCCTGGTGGGCCACTGGTTTGGTATTTTTCACCAGGGGATAGAAGAAATAAGCTAGGCTTAAAATGTTAGGCTAGGTAGTTATGATTCTCTAGTGGGTATCTTGGCCTTCACCTTTCCGTCTTGATGTTGGCTGTTTTGTCAGTAAAGAAGTTGAAAACGTTTTGGTAGATGTCTTTTGCTGAATGCAAGTGAGCAATGTGGTTTTGACATTTGTCTTCAGTTCTTCAGGATATAAGGATCCAAAACAAAGCAGCAGTAACAGTCTTGATAATACCAGTCACTGAAACTAGCTGTTGAGAGTTTTGGGAGGCTATAAAGCAAAATGCCTTGCAGTGCTCCAGAGGCTGTGATTTTTGAATATTTAAAAACAGGCTGATTTGGGTATTGCTTTTTTAGATGTCTTTAGCCTATTTTAGTTCTAAAAATTGGCACATACTTTCAAAACGATAGCAGTCGATACGGTGCTTGGTTTCTGAGTTTCTCCACTGGTCAGAGCTCTGACTTGTAAGTAATGTTACTGCAGTGTTAATGCATTGTGTTCCTACGTTTTATGCTAATCCTCCGTTTCATCAGTATGTGGATAACAGAACTTGAAGCAATATTGTTTTGTTTTCAAAAATAATTAGTAATCAGTTGTGTAAATTGCACTTTTCTAGGCTCTTCATTATATGTTATTAGTATCAGAAGTTGAAGAAACTGAAATATTCAAGATTTGTCTTGAATACTGGAATCATTTAGCTGCTGAGCTGTACAGGGAAAGTCCGTTTTCAACATCTGCTTCTCCGTTGCTTTCGGGAAGTCAACACTTTGATGTTCCTCCAAGGAGACAGCTTTATTTGCCTGTACTGTCCAAGGTAATCCATGCTCTAAAGTAAAGGTGTTGTAAAGACTTAGATTCTGTTCTTGACTTTAGACACTCCACTTCACGTGAGGGGAAATTTCAGAAAATTTGTCTTGCTTTGAGTAGTTCTTAGTTGATTCAACTTTGATCATTAAATGTACTGCACTTGCCAAAATTCTTTTTTTGATTAATACTTGTAGACTAGGTTGAAGATGGGGATGCTGGTGGATGGCATGAGTATTAAAACAGTCTCTATTGAACAATTTTTTTTAAACAGACTTACCGTTTTGAATTCCATGGTAGTACTGCAAGAGCTGATATCCGTTCTGTGACAAGGTTAAAAGTATAGGATTTGCTTAGTAGCCTTACTAAATCCTACTAATAATTTTCCTGTTGCTTGGTTTGCACCTTGGTGGTGTTTGTATTTCTTTATGAAAATGTAGCTATTCTCTGGTTAGAGGAGGAGGCAATCCCAGTATTTCCAATTTTTTATGGTGAGGGGGGTTGATTTTTTCTGCTCGGGGTGGGATTTCTCATCTGACTAAATTTGGCATAGTATTAAATTTTTTTAAATGAATCCAGTTCTATAAGAGATGGTTAAAACTGTTAAAGGCTGGTGTGTTACAGTTGGAAGGGGAAAAAAAAAGTCTATATGGGTAAAGTAGTCTTTAAAAGATTCTTAAAATACACACATTTTGAAGTTCTAGAAGGTATACTTAATCTTTTCCACCCTCCGCGTCCCCCAACTCTTTGATCGCTTGTTTGTGTAGAGATTGAAGTTAGCAAGCACTAGTCTTCAGGGCTTTTTAGTTATCGTGTCCCTTTACAGTTGTCCTCTCCACCTTGCTGTTGATAGACGTGAGCTAGTCTCCTGAAGTGCTGAAAACGTCTGGTGGATGATAGAATGTCTAGCCAGTGTGCTTTAGAAGCTGTGGAGCTGTGTGCCTATCTTCTTGTTTAGTTTTATTAAATTTAAACCTTTCTTTTTAAAATACAGGTCCGATTGTTAATGGTTAGCCGTATGGCTAAACCAGAAGAAGTGCTAGTTGTGGAAAATGATCAAGGAGAAGTAGTACGAGAATTCATGAAGGATACAGATTCCATAAACTTGTATAAGAATATGAGAGAAACATTGGGTAAGTTGCACTAGCAACTAGGTGTTCTTGTCCTGTGCAGTTGCACCAGCAGCATGTACGTTACAGAAGCTAGGCCTATAATCTGAATTACACGGGGGTAGAATGTGAGAGGTACCAGTGAGGAGTAGTACAAAAACTTGAAAGGGAGGCGTGGTTGGAGGAGTTTGGGTTTAAACATGTAGTGCTCTTGTATAACTTAGTTAAGTAGTTATATGCTGCCTTGTGTTTGTTGCTGTCTTTTTCGCATTGCAAACCTTAGTGATACCAGTCTGCTGAAGTGCTTCAGTTTGGATGAAATCTTGGTTTTATCAGCCTACTCCCAAATAGTGCTTGGCAACTTAGAGATTTGAATCTGAAGATCAGATCACATCTTTAGATCATTTAATTTTACTCCTGTGTGTGGAATAGCTTGAGGTGTAACTTAATTTATCCTCCCCCAAAAACCCAGCTTTCTTGCCATATGACCAAAAATTAATTCTATATACATATGTCGGAAACTTTTAAATTGGAAGGACTTCCTTGAAGAGTTTCATGTTCGTGACATGGTAATTACTTTTCACTCCTAGTCGGAAATATTCTTCTGTAGACTAAGCACTCACAAAATTCCAGCCTTAACTTGAACTTCAGAAAGGTTGTCCAAAGTTTTTGCTGAAGTGTTAAAATGACCTTACCTGAAAATCTGTTACGTAACATGTAGAAAAAATTAAAAGTTGCGAGTACACTAAAGAATACCAAAATCAGTATTTCTGTGCTACTTTAAAGTAGCGTGCATGTTTTATTTTTAGTGTAAGTTGGTGTTAGTATATGTATGCATTTGCATTACCTTTTGAAGTCTCATGTTCGGCTGTGACCGTTCTGTCAGTGAATCGATTGTCTCTTGTGTATTGTAGTGATAAATTCATTTCTTGCAGCTCGGGCTTGTAACTGAATATTTTGAGGCCTGACATGAATCCTTGGAGGACTGACATGTCTAAGCATTAGCCTCAGAACATCAAATCTTCAAGGGTTGTTTTTTTTTTTTTTTATTAAATGCAAGTGCTGTAAGGGAACGTTGTGTTTAAGAGGTTTATGAATGAGGAGTTTAAAAAAAAAAAAAAAAAGTTCTGTGACGCAGAAGTGAAAGCATTAAGTGATTGTGGGTTTTTTTTAAATTCTCATCACTGTACTGGTGGCATTGTAAGTGCAGCTAGCAGTGGACCTGTTCTAATATCTTTCTATGGGACTTAAAGGTTTGTTTTTTTTTAATACTAAAATTACTACTGCATGTTCTCAGCTGCAGTTGTAGTTCCAGGTACAGGATTGTTTATACAAAAATAAAGATGTAGTCGTAGTGTTTGATTTCTAGTGTTACGTTATTGTTTACAATATATTATTGTAACCGAAGATTCACCTTTAAATAAAAAACACAAGAGCGCAGTGGAAGTTATGATGGGTTTTACAGTGCCATAGAATGTTGAATCGGATCTTAAATTGCTTCCGACTCGCTGGGATTTAGGATTTTGTATTAGACTAATCTTATTAGGGACTGATGCAAGTGTCTGCCTCAGTTGTGATACATGAATCTTCCCATCTAGCCTTGTTGAGGGAAGAACCTTCTCTGTCTTAATGGTGAGTCATTACAACCAGCAGACTTAATGACAGTGCAACAAAGAACAGAGGAAAATAATTGATTGACTTCTTACATGCAGTATAATTCCCCAGTAGCTAGCCATTCCTATATTTAACCTATAGATCATGATTATGTGCTCCTTTTGTTAGTAGTGTAACTTAGTAACTTTACTGATCTGACTGGTACACAACATAAGTTGGTTCAGGCTTTTCATAAAGCTTGTGTGTAGGACTTGGCTAAAATCCTTTGGGACAGCTTTAACACAGATTCTCCATAAAATTTATTCTCTATCTTAAAAACAGTTCTCTTAAAACTGCGTTTAAAATTTTTAGCTCATCCTGTCATAAGCTCAGGAAAAATGCACTGCGCTTATCTAACAGAACTTGAATATCGTTTTCTTGGAAGAACTTAACCTTGTCTATAGAGTTGTGATCCAGGTTGTTGCTTAAAGATGCGTATTTAATGTTAATTATCTTTCAGTTTATCTTACACACTTGGATTATGCGGATACAGAACGAATAATGACAGAAAAACTTCACAATCAAGTGAATGGAACAGAATGGTCGTGGAAAAATTTGAATACCCTATGTTGGGCTATAGGCTCAATCAGTGGAGCAATGCATGAAGAAGATGAAAAAAGATTTCTTGTTACAGTGATTAAGGTATCGTGATGCAAAACTAATAACTTTGTCACACTTCATAGTTTATGTTCAAGAAATCAGGTTTCAAAAATACTGCAATATGTTCTTATTAAGGGACCTGGTATGGCAAACAAGTTGTTGGAGATAATTTAAGGGGAAAGGTCATATCCTGGATTTAAGGCTGATAGATTCTTCCGTCATGAACAATGCACTAATCCAAATAGACTTTCCACTGTGAAAATTTCAGGAAGAAGTTAGCTTATGATCAAGTATTTTCTTCCTCTGGGGATGAGGAAGAGATGGGAAGGATAGCTAATGAAATAAAGGATGGTGGCAAAACGACCTGTGCTGTGTCTTGTTCTTGTACTCTTTTCATACATGTTATATTGATCAAAAATTCACTTTGGTAAATAAAAAGAAAAAGGCAAAGTAGCAGGGTGCTAGCTGGTTAGAAACATTTTCATTACAAGGGTAATTGACCTGATCTTAAACGTTCATGCAAATTAATATCAGAGGAGTTCATTCAGTTTACCACTACCACTTTTTCAACATGAAGAACTGGATACCTACATTATAAACATACAATGCAGTTCTTCAAATAGTGAGGTTTAGGATATTGAACTTCATGTGGTCTAAAAAGATGGATGTGTTTACTGATGTTTAAAATTAAGTGTAAACAAGCAGTCCGAAGTAGGAGTTTTCATTCAAAGTCGATACTGGTGGTATTGCTTCTAATGTGATTCATTTGATGCGGAATCTCTCTCTCTCTCTATGGATACATATAGAGAGAGAGAGAGAGATAGCAACTAGTTGGTCAATACTTAACACTGAGGCTTGTTGAATTCTTCCTTAAAAAAATGTTTAGGTATATCTAAAATGCGGATTCCACAGCTGAAGACCCGACTTTCCTGATTTGTTGGAAGCCTACATAATTGCATCACCCCAGTTTTAACCCACCCTTTCATTGACTTTGAACTGGATATGGCAGCCACTTTAATTTAACTGATTTTGGTATTGTATAGTTGGTCTTGCAGTGCTTTTGATTGAACCAGATAAACTTGGGGAAGAAGCTAAAGATATGTTGTTTTTTAGGATCTCCTGGGACTCTGTGAACAAAAGCGAGGAAAAGATAATAAAGCCATTATTGCATCAAATATAATGTATATAGTAGGTCAGTACCCACGCTTTTTGAGAGCGCACTGGAAGTTTTTGAAGACTGTAGTCAACAAGCTGTTTGAGTTTATGCATGGTAATTATCTTTTCTTTACTTGTTTTCATTTTAAAAAAAAAACAAATGCTCATGCATGCTCAGACGCACGTATAGAAAAAATACAATGCAGTAACTGAGTTGATTTAATTTAGAAACCCATGATGGCGTCCAGGACATGGCTTGTGATACCTTCATAAAAATAGCACAAAAATGCCGCCGACATTTTGTTCAGGTTCAAGTGGGAGAGGTCATGCCGTTTATCGATGAAATTTTAAACAACATCAATACAATTATCTGTGATCTTCAGCCACAACAGGTATGCTTAATTCAGGGGTATGGGTAATATGTAGTAGTTCCTGAAGACCAATAAGAATACTCTGTAAGGGAATGTTACTGGCAATGGTTTAAGATCTGAATTGTATTCTTTATTTTTTGATAGTGTTATAGCATGATCAGGTTGCATTACCGAGATCTTAATTAGCATACCTCCAAGGAGAATTCAAGTGAGTTTAATTGGAATTCTGAATTCTGAAATACATTTTTACTACTAAGTAACTTAAGATACTGAATCTAATTTGTGGTTCTGATTTGGGATAGAGTATCCAACTGTAGTGGCATGCAGCTCTTGTATTCGCAAGGAAAAAAAGCAAAGGGCCTATCTCTGGAGGACTGCAGCTCAAAAAGTGAGAGTAGTGTGCACGCATGACATACGCTGATCAAATGTTATAATAAAGGTTTGGGCAGAGTGGCTCTGATATCTGGAAAAAGATACTTACAGGAGTGACGGTACCCAGTCCGCAGTATGAACGCCCCTCATAATACTCGATTTCAGTTGTGTATAGGTCTTAAGTCGGCCTAACGTTCTGTAAAAGAATTAAATGGGGCTGTACCCAAAGGAAAACTAAATGGCATGCATCTGAGCTTCTTCACTTTGGGAGATGGTGTTGTTTTGTAGGGGGCAAAATGAAGACTCTAGGGTAGGGTTGATTTGAAGGGAAGGGGGTCGAGTCTCGTTTTGTACATGATGGAAGTAAGGAAAGAACTGAAAGGCTTTATGAAGTTAAGTGAGAAAAAGGTACATAGACGATGAAACCCCATTTTCAGCCTTCACTACGTTTTGCTTTTAAAACGCTGAACTCTTTCCTTATTCCTTTTTAACCTACCTGTTTGACTTCTTGTTCCAATTAGGTGCATACATTCTATGAAGCAGTAGGATACATGATTGGGGCACAAACAGACCAGACTGTACAGGAGCATCTGATAGAAAAGTATATGTTGCTCCCTAATCAAGTATGGGACAGCATAATTCAACAGGCAACAAAAGTAAGCCCATAAATTTTAAGCGTATTCTGTGTTCAGATAAAACTGATTAAAGGTTTATTCCATCCCCATGTTCATTTTTCACGTGGCATAGCATGAGGTGTACGTACACAGGGGTAGACTTCATTGAATAATGATCAAATGATGATCAACATGATAGTAAAAATGTCGTTTTGAGAGAGGAGTTTTAAATGACAAAATAAATATTGGTTTTAATCGGTTTTGAAGGATTGTTTTACATTCCTTCAAGGAATATGCTTCTTCAGGGAGAAGGGAATTTATGAGAATGGCTACCTCAGAGGGGAGGAAAAAAAAAAAAACATTTCTCCACAATTCCCCTTTACCTGGCTCACGGGTGGGGTTTCTTTCTAAATAACGCAAAATATGAAATACTAAAAATGCTGTTCACTTTCTTCTTTCTTTTCAATCGTTCTCTTAAAGTACATATTTATTCCTATTTTCATTTCTCCTTTTTTAGTCTCTTCAAAATAACCACACATTTGAATAAAGCATGGACAGTCTTGTAGTCCACAAGAGGTGGATCCCTTTGGACTTACCCAGTTGTGATCCTGAAACTTAAACAAGCTTAAATTACTTTTCTGACTGAGTTCTTTCTTAAAACAAGAACAGACTGCCTTTCCTTTGGACTATGTCCCTCTCTTCACCTTCTTAATCACGCTCCTCGTGTTTTTTAGTTTTTTGTGTGTTTTTTTTTCCTACCTTCCTCTTGCACTAAAATGATGTTTGTACTGCTCTTGCAAAAAGCTTTTACGGGAGAGCAAAATAAAGGCTATCCAAGATTTAATTGTGATTCTCAGTTTAAGGTAGTGGCAAGTGCCGTGAACTGAATCCCAGTGTTATGTAAGCTCTTTTGGATAGATTATTGAGCAAACTATGCAAGGGAAAGGGGGTGTTTGAAGTACCACTTGTTTTGTTAAAAGCTAAAGGCTTTCACTAAACAGAATGAACTCCTATTTTTCAACAGAATGTTGATATTTTAAAGGATCCTGAAACAGTTAAGCAGCTGGGTAGCATTCTGAAAACGAATGTAAGAGCATGTAAAGCAGTTGGCCACCCCTTTGTGATTCAGCTTGGAAGAATTTATTTAGATATGCTGAATGTGTACAAGTGCCTAAGTGAAAATATTTCTGCAGCTATCCAGGCTAATGGTAAGAATTCTCCTTGTTTTTCTTGAAATTGAGGACTAGTAGTGCGTGTTATCAGGTTTCAAAGCATGTTACAGAGGCAGGATAATTTTATTGTGTTCATTTTACTGTTTGGGCAAGTGGGGAATGACTGTGAAAGCGTTTGCATAGATTTTTCTTGCTAACCAGATGTTCTTCTATTCGAATAAAGAACTGCTCTGATTTTAGAGGGAAAACAACTATAAGCCAGAAAGTTTGGGAAAGATATACAAAACGTAGCAGAGACTTAGAAAAAGTAATAACCCAACCTATTAAGAACAAAGTTCTGGTATATGTTCTCTTATCTTACTCTAATTTTAAATATGAGAAATACTTTTTTTGAATTTCTTCCGAAAGGTGTTAGTGGGGCTTTGGTGTATGGTACTGTGCTTCTAAATAGCTTTATTATAGAAATGTAACTGTAGTGAAGATCCCTGAAAATGACGACAAACTAGGCTTTGTTATCATTGTCAAGAAATTATCACTTACCTATTGTAATTCTACTAGATAAATGGGGATATACTCTCTCAGTGGAATGTGCTGCTGTAGTAGTTCGTGACCCAATCAAATGCGTCAGTCATTGGATTATTCATCTATGTTATGACCAGTTTTCTTACCAGTGCAGATGATGTTTGGGAATAGGAATGTTAAATAAAACTTTGTGTAACTGAACAGCTGGTTGACCTTGAAGTAGCTTCCCAAATAGAATTCAGAATAAAACTGGCTGCAAAATGAGTACCTTTTGACTCCGGAGCTCTAATGGCCAGAACTTGTCCTTGTCAGAAACGATAAAAAGTTCAGGAAGCAGTTGCTAGGTCTGCAGTTCAGATGTGATACTAAATTGACAACCACGCTCTGATTGTGCTTGTCTCAGAGCGTGTTTTCACAACTAGTTTTAGCTTGTCTGAGATCTCTCTAATGCCAGGACGAGCAGTCCTGGCCTCTTCCTTGGCTGAACTGCTCTAGTGTTTCCCTTGTATGTGCTGTAGTGGTTGCGTGGCTATGCAGTTAATCAGATTTTCTTGATAAGACTGCACTGATTTGGGGGTAAGAAAAAAAACCTGAACTAAGGACAAGACTTCTAGTGGAAGACTTCTTTCTGTCTTAGATTAAATCGAGTCTTCTATAGAAAGCCATATAGGTTGCTCCCCCTCACCCCATCGCTTAATGCGAACGAGATGTAAGCTTAGTCTAAGTGGTGAAGTGATTTCTTTACTCGCAAAGTAAGTTGCAGCTTTGTTTTTGAAGCTTTTTTTCAGTAAGTACTGTAGGCAGTAGTTCTGTAATGCTAAATGGCTAGAATGGAGATAAGTTTTGCCAGCACAATATGTCTTTAATGTTGTTTGGTTTTTGGATATTTAAAAAGCATTCTCAGTCTTATTATACCAATTTAAGTTAACTTTTTGGTACTAAATACAAATTATATTAATGGACCGTCGCCTTACCTGGATTAACTGAAGCTTTAAAACTTAACAGGTGAGATGGTAACAAAGCAGCCATTGATTAGAAGTATGAGGACTGTAAAAAGGGAAACCTTAAAACTAATTTCTGGCTGGGTGAGCAGGTCCAATGATCCGCAGATGGTAAGTAAACGTATCTAATATAAATGATTCGTTAGTGAGGCAGAATTTGGAGAAGTCTGTTCTTTGTTCTTCTGTTGACTAAATCAGATGGTCACAGGAACTTGTTTCAGGAGGTCCATAAAGTATAATGGAAGAAGTGTGATTATAGTGAGGTAAGTCAGAGCTACGTTTGAGATGGTTTGGTTTAGTTTTAGCTGAGAGTATTCTTAAAGGAAGCAAGGGAGCTTAATAAACTCTGCTGAAGCCACTGCTGGGTGGTTTTGGGAACGAGGGGGTAGTTTATGGATGTGTTTGATGTATTTCAACTTCCTTAGGAAAAATACTTCCTGTGACTAGACAGTTAACTTTGCTATACACTGTTTGCTAGAGACTTTATTAAAATAACTGTGTTACTATAAACATGGCTTGCTCTTTTAATTAGGTAGCTGAAAACTTCGTTCCTCCCTTGTTGGATGCAGTTCTCATTGACTACCAGAGAAATGTTCCAGCTGCTAGAGAACCTGAAGTACTTAGTACTATGGCTATCATTGTGAACAAGCTGGGTGGACACATTACTGCTGAAATACCTCAGATATTTGATGCTGTTTTTGAATGCACGTTAAATATGATTAATAAGGTATTTATATTTAAACTTTGGATAAAGCATCTCCCTACTCACTCAAGACACCTTCCCTCCCCCCCTCCCCCCCCAGAAAAAAAAAATCAGTTTTTCTTTTATATTGAGAGTACTTGTCTTGGCTGTTGGCACATTACTTAAGTGAAAGATGCCCTTCTGTCCCAATGGAGGGAGGCAATATGTAGTTAACACAGATTTACTACAGAAAACTTTTTTTGTTTATAGAAATGAAGATTCATGATTTCTTTCAGTGAATATCATCTCCATATGTAGTGTCTTGTAGATCACTTCTCCACCTTTCTGCAGTCACAGAGCATTTGTGGCACATGCAGAAATTTCTCCTCAAATATTTGTTTTGAAGTCTGGCTGTCTAGTTGGATGTCTTCATTTGGTAGCCTTACAGATTTATTGGTTTTAGTTCTCAAATTAAGTCATTAATCATTTTTTGTGGTGGGAACTTGGAACGGCATGCCTCTGGAAGCAAAATTGTGCTTAGTCCCACTTCAGTGTCAGACTAACGGCTAAAATGTCAAATGTCTAAATATAAGTAATTAGCAGTCCCTTTCCTTGAGTGTTTCCACACTTAAAATACCATAGACTGCATACATACAATCTGTAGTATGCATTTGCATAATACTCAGGAAGTACCTGCTAAATTAGTGCCACTTTGCAATAATGTGTAGCTAGAAATTGTTCCTCTGTTAAAAGTAACATAGGTTCTTGGGCGCGTTGAGACCATCTGTCTGCCTCTTTATCTGTGGAATGAGAAGTGGATAAGGTTTTGTACTAACAAAATGTGGCTCAGCCAGTTGATGTTTAATTCTCTAGAAGATGTTCTTATCAAGCTTCGGGGAAAATTTGGGGAAAAGCTTAGAGAACTATGTTCTTTGCTTTTTGTTTAAGGTCACTTATATCTGGGGTCTAAATGCTGTTCGTGCCACTTAACTAAACCGCTCCTTCTCAAAGGAGATCTGAGTGATGTTTCAGCTGTTCAGGAAACTTGACTTTTTCCCTCCTCTTTCTTCCCCTTCTAGGACTTTGAAGAGTATCCTGAACACAGAACAAACTTCTTCTTACTACTCCAGGCTGTAAATTCTCATTGCGTCCCGGCAGTCCTGGCCATTCCACCTGCGCAGTTCAAACTAGTTCTGGATTCTATTATTTGGGCTTTCAAACATACAATGAGAAATGTTGCAGATACAGGTAAATGGGAGTTTTCAGTGTTACCAAATATGCAGGCTTCACTTATCTAGCAGTATCAATTATATTTTTGATAGTTTACTGCTGCTTTCTTGCATCTCTCTCTTTTCAAACTTAATTTTGTGATTGGAATTCTCATTCTGTATTGTATTAGCATAAGAATAATATTCTCCAGTCCTAGCTTCAAGTTGCCAACCAGGTATATATTACTGTGCTAAAATACGTGGGTAGTGTTTCACTCTTGCAGCTGCAAGAGCACTTGGTTTCTGCTTGTTTTCTCTTCTATGTGAGTGTTTGTTTTCTGAAACTGCTGAACTGATGCAACAGCTCATTGTTCCTAAAGCCGCTGTTGCAGCTCTGCTTTTGTTGGGCTGCCCGTGGTGTGTTTCTTCTTACTTCTTGCTTCAGTAAGACAGATCTCAGTAACTAGTGAGAAATCCAGCAGAACGATGAATGCTTGGGGGCTGAACTGACAGTCTCATGGGAGCTGGCCTTGGTTTAAGAGGAGGGGGGAACGGACTGTAAAGAGGGGGATTGTGCTTCCTTTGGACAACGGCAAGTTGTTAAATTCAGTGGGAGGCTGAATTGAACAGTTGAGTGTATCGCTTCCTTCAGCAGACTTGAGTAATTAAAGAGTCCTCCAGAATCTGAGTTTTAAAGGGCAGCTAGGAGAGGCTGTGTACATGTCTTATTCTGAAAATGTTGTAGCTCTTGGGCTTCTCTCATCATCTTGACTATTGATTAAAAAGATCTTTGTGAAGCTGCCTGATTTTAAAAGCACTGACAGATGTTGCTATTTTAAGAAAGTTTTTTAAAGTGTTTGGAAAGGATGGAGATAAAGATAAACAATTTTATTTCAGTTAGTAATTATTTTCATTTAATTCTAAAAACTGACATTTTTTTCTTTAAAATGAGTGAATACATTTTTGGTAGAGGGTTTCTCACTTTCATGAATAGCAGTGAAGTGATTTGTTTTTCTGATGTTCTGACATCAACTAACGAAAACCAAATCTACACTCCTTGTGAGCGTGTGTCTAGCCCTCTAGTGGCTACTTGAGGAAATGCCTGGGAAAAGCATGAAGTCTGTAATGTTCTATTTTCAGTGCCCCTCAATTTCTTGGGATATTTGTATCGCTTTGGAAAAGGCAAAAAGATGCTTAGAGGTTTTAATATTCTTTTGTTGGTAAATTTTGTTTTTATGCGTATTTTTTCAGGGCTTCAGATACTTTATACTCTGTTACAAAATGTTGCGCAAGAAGAGGCTGCTGCCCAGAGTTTTTATCAGACATATTTTTGTGATATTCTTCAGCACATTTTCTCAGTTGTAACCGACACCTCACATACTGCTGGTAAGAATGTATATATGTGAGCCAGTTGATGAAAACATTCTGTTCAGACTTCAAAATAATGTTGTACATCGTGTTCTAAATAATAACTGCATATGTGTAACTTTGGTCTGTTCAGGTTTGACAATGCATGCATCAATCCTTGCATACATGTTCAACTTAGTAGAAGAGGGGAAAATAAGTACTCCATTAAACCCTGGGAATCCAGTGAACAACCAAATGTTTATTCAGGAGTATGTTGCTAATCTTCTCAAATCTGCTTTTCCTCATCTGCAAGAGTAAGTTTGCTGTCGTTCCTTAATGCTTTTAAGTGGGCTTATGTTTGTTGAAATACTAACTGATGGGTTTACTTTTAGCGCCCAGGTTAAGCTGTTTGTAACAGGACTCTTCAGTTTAAACCAGGATATTCCTGCTTTCAAAGAACACCTAAGGGATTTCCTGGTACAAATTAAGGTATGTTTACCATGCTTTTCCAAGAAATGAAAAATAATTATTGAGCATAACAGTCATTGTTGGAAAGTAATTGGACAGTTTTCTGAATAGGAGATACGGGTCTATTTACTGCTGTTTAAAATTGTAGTAAAAGCTTACTTTCTCAAATAGCTCGAGAAGGTCTGCGGATGAGAGATCATTTAATCTATTTTAGCATGATTTAATTATGAATTTAATTATATTATATGAACCAGTTGATTTTTAAACAGTGGTCTTATTTCAGTTCTGCTTGAGATGTGGGCATGCTTTGAAACTTCACAGAATGTTTTTTTCATTTTTCCAAAGCAGCTAGAATGAAAGATGATTGTGGAAAAGTGCTCCTTGAAATAGTGTTGAAAATGTAGTTGTCAGGTATTTTTAAAGTTTTAATGGTACTGCTTGAAATGATAGTATGGCCCAAAAGCGGGTTACTAGAGCATCCCATTCTGTAATACATGGAATGCAAAATACAGAAGATTTTCACCTTTATATTCATCTCTTTAAGAAGAGAAAACAAGCATACAGTCTGACAAGAATTCTGGAAGCTTACTGTTCTGTTCTAAAGCATTTGACAATGAACTAACAACTTTGTGAACTACACAGGAATTTGCAGGTGAAGACACATCAGACTTATTCTTGGAGGAAAGAGAAACAGCCCTTCGGCAGGCTCAAGAGGAGAAACACAAACTTCAGATGTCTGTCCCTGGCATCCTTAATCCACATGAAATTCCTGAGGAGATGTGCGATTAAAAAAATAATAAAACAAGTTATGCAGTTTTCTTTCTGTACAGCTACTTTGTTGTGATAGAAGAAAACAGCACTTGGATATTTGTTGACCAAAATGATGCCAATTTGTAAATTAAAATGTCACCTAGTGGCCCTTTTTCTTATGTGTTTTTTGTATAAGAAATTTTCTGTGAAATATCCTTCCATTGTTTAAGCTTTTGTTTGGTCACCTTTATTTAGATTTGCATGAAGTTGAAAATTAAGGCATTTTCAAAGTACTACTTCATGCCCATTTTGTGGCTACGGGGAAAAGAGGCGAAACATAACTTGTAAAAGACTATATTGCAAAATTATACGATTTCCTGTAAGAGTATCAATTTTTAATTTGGGATCATTTTCTTTCTAGCCTGCCCTGCAGCCTAGGAGAAAAGGTAATGAGTAAAGCGAATTAAATTGTTAAGCAGAGGATTATAGTGCTGCGTTTTTCTGAACAGTTAGCAGCTTTTTGGACTGAGTGGTAAGGCTAGGCTACATGTATTTGCAAGTTGTATGGCAAGTTTGCAGCAAGATCATGTGCATATCATCCCATTGTAAAGCAACTTCTAAAGAGTATGGGAACACAGTACAGTTAGTTATTTTTACACAGTTCTTTTGTTTTTGTGTGTGTGCTGTCGCTTTGTCGACAACAGCTTTTTGTTTTCCTCAATGAGGAGTGTTGCTCATTTGTGAGCCTTCATTAACTCGAAGTGAAATGGTTAAAATATTTATCCTGTTAGAATAGGCTGCATCTTTTTAACAACTCATAAAATAATAAAAAAAAAAAAAACTCTGGCTTTTGAGATGACTTATACTAATTTACATTGTTTACCATGCTGTAGTGCTTAAAGAACACTACTTAAAAGCAAAATAAACTTGGTTTACATTTATTTTTCTTTGGCTTATTCTTTTATTGGATAAAAATGCTGTGATCATATTGAAGACTTCTATCCTGAAAATGTAGGAAAAGTCCTTTGACCTAGGTAATGGCTGCTTCTGGCTTGCCTAATCTCAAGGACTTTGGCTATGCTTGAATTAAGTTATAACGTGAAATTAAGTTGGGTTCCATTTGGAAGTACAGTAGCTGTTCTGACTTACCTCCATGAGTAGATATTCCACAACAGATTATGATGCCAGGAATAAGGTACTGTTGCTCTATATATGGACACTTTGACATGAATTGCAAAGAGGTATTGCACTGTATCTTGACTGAACAAGTGATACTAATACATATAAATAACATAAGTAGACAAGATCTACAGTTATTTTTCTACCTAAAATTTTGTATTTAAATCATTTCCAGAGACTTAAGTACTGATACCAAAAGCAAACCATGTGAACACTAAGATTGTGTACAGTCTTGGCTTCCCCATTTTTGTAATGTTTCTCCTCTGTCTTCTAGCAGCTGATGTTTTTTATTTTCCAGTTTCCCTTTATTTGGTCTCTAATCCTAGGACTACTATTATGATGCAAAGTATAGCCGTTCATGCAGAGCTGTGAAACAGATAAGGTTAGGCAGTTGGTGGTGTTATTATGTAAGTTTGGATACTGTAGTTAACTTTCTGCTGTACGTTACTTTCGAAATAGAAGTGCATGAGTTAGCGCTGTTCATGTAGAACCTAGCTGTGATTAGAATGTTTCCAGAGTCTTAAGTATTTGCCCCATTCTGCTTCTGAACATCTGGGTGGTTTTGATTTAGCTGGCCCTAAAAAAGCAAAGCCATTCCTGTGTGCGTATCATCTGGCAACCCAAATAGCGTGAGCTGGCAACACTGGTCTTTGGAAGGAGACAAGTTGTCCTCAAACCCCTTATGACTAGGACTTAACAGTACAGCCTACTAAAATTATGTGAGGAATTAATTATTCTGACGGTTAAAAAAAGCCATTTCTTTCCCTTATTACCATAATGTGCTTTAAGCTTTCATGTCTTCCTGTCCTGTGAAGTGTAGCTTTCTGTTATGTTCTGCTAATGCAGTATCACCTGTAATAAGCAGTTTGAAGTAAAAAATGTGAAATATTGTTGAAAAGGACACATTTGGAATGGGCATATTTATTGGCTTGTGTACAGGTTAAAAGTGCTAGCATTAGAGCTACAGACGAGCAAAAGCTTATTGCAGCTGTGCAGACTGCCATCAATCCACTAAGAAAATACATTTTATTAAAAGTGGAAATACCACTGGTGGCATGGCTCAAGGATGATTATATTCCATGCGTAGCAGAAATAAACACTGATTCAGTTCTGACATGAAGTGGCATTAACATTGCATTGAAAATAGTTTTGAAAGAAAAAGGCACATCTGCCTTTATGCATGTTACTTTTCTCCACATTTAAGATTGAAACAAGCCTGTGAGGCTCATGGTCTGGTATTTACTGGAAAATTAAATCCAAATTAAATTCTCAAACAGCTTATTATTTGAAATATATTTTTGAAATAGGTAATTCAGAGAAGAGTTGTTTTATTGTTTTGATACATTTTTCAGATTATCTAATAAAATGTGATCTTAGTTTTCGCTTCCCTCTTAAATCTCAACTTCACTGTGGTCTTAACTTGTTATCTTAAGAATTGGTGCCTTTCACTGAGCTCTGCAGGTGCTTATGCAGGGTTCTGGATACCATTAAAGATTTGACTTGTGCGTGTGCATATTTCTAGTGCAGTTATCCCAAATGTGGAAGAGTAATTAAAATGTACATCTAAAACAGGACTGGTTCTAATGCACACTCTGTAAATAAGAATAAATGGATAAAAAGCATGAACCATCATATAAACATACGTAACTTGTAATTCTATGTGAACCAATGTTTACTCTGTGCATATTTCTTTACAGATTTTTCAAAAATATGTACTCCAGATACGTTCAAACACAAATATTACAGGGTGTTTTCTGTGTTTACATGAATTGATTGCCTGTTAGCTGATGAAAACATCCCCAAATACTTGTTTCAGGCTACTATGATGTGTTTGCTACTGTAACTGAAACAGATTATTTTCCAAAGCATTTTAGGTTAGCGTTTTTTTTTTTTTTTTTTAAACTTGAATAATTGGTGTGTGTTAATCTGATTGGTTAAGTGACCTATTTTCCAATAAAGCTAATATTTATGCAAAAAGCTTTAGAAACGCTCATCTCTCAAGGAAGCTTGAAGAGTTATTTCCAGTAGTTTTCAGCTCTGGAAAGGCAGTTAGGGCTTCAGCTGTGGGTTTCTTTATGAAAGATCAGGAGCGCGTTGCAAATAATACAGCATTAAAATGCAGCATGCCTAACAAAAGTGAGAAACTTGCGTTTATAAAGAAAATGTTGTATTGCGACTCGGCCAGTTTATCCCTTTGGATAAGCAATTGTTGATCCAAGACTTTATTGATCCAAGGCTACTATTTGTATTTGCTGAAAGATGTGTTTAGATTTCCTTTCCCTTCCCCCCCCACTTCACTTGGTTAGTCTCCAAATGTAGTAGAGCAAAATGGAAGTGCTGAAGATTGTTTTCAAAAAGTTTGTCCAAAATAAGCAAAACACCACATCTTTTCCTTATCTTGCCCTTCATGAATACAATTCTGCACTTGTTGGGGCCTTTTTTTTTCTTTTCTTTTTCTCTCCAGACTTCCAGATATTCTTTCTTCCTTGTCTAAGGCTTATTATGGCCAGTGACATTTCCTCCGGTTGAGAGATTCATTTTCAAGAAACTCTGGGGCAGATAGGTTTCCTTAAGCATTTCACATTGTATGTTCACGTGCTAAGACCTACAATGGGTCACAAGTAAACTTGGCGTTTCCTGGGAAAATACTTGCAGTAGCTAATTGATAAATGTTTGACAGACATTGGAATGTTGTCAGAGCCTTTCACTCCTTCAAATTATATTTTGACCTGGGGCTGGATGGGGGAAAATGACCACTTTTAATATTACTCACGTAATAATGGAACAGAGATGAATAACAATGCAGTCCTGGGAACTCTGTATTTAGCTAAGCTGGGACTGTGTAGTTTTCAGCTTGTTTCTGCCATTCCCCGACTCTGCCAATTCAGTAACACAGGTCAGACTACCTGATGGAGCTATTGGCATACTGAAACAGTTAAATTGGCTGGGTTTATTGAGTACCTGCAGCTTTATATTTTACAGGTTCCTCTCCTCCCCTCTTTGTCATCCTCCTTAAGACAACTCTGTCAAATTAGAACTTGGAAATTATTGCTGATACATACACAATTGCCCTGTACTTTGCCATAGGTCTTTGTGCATATATTTACCTGTGAGTGCTAGCTTGTGTGACAAGTGGGAACAAAAAAATGGAGCATTTAGAAGAGATGGGGGTGGCAGAAGGATGTTTTGGAAGTGAAAAGCATGGATGAGAATAACAAATGGAAAGAGAAAATGAAAATGAGCAGGGGTGAATAAAAGGGAAACAGTTTAAATGTAAGCCATGGGCATTTTTTTTCTAGGTAATACCCTGGACAGACTTTTCTGATAACCCCATTAACACGTTATATGTGAAAGGGTCCTTATTTTCATCATGAACATCTTTTAAGTCTTATTTTAAAAAAAAAAAAAATCAAACCACGTTCTTTCAGTTTGTGTGCAGATTTGTCAAACCGTCATAGTCAGGAGTTTTGATAGCTTGTCTTCGGTTGTCTTTCACAAATCTGGTAATTTCTGCAAACAGTATTGGGAGGAACAGGCTAATTTAGGTTGAAGGACTGAAGGGGGGGGAAAAAAGTTAGGATTGTTTTCTCCCAAATAGAACTACATAATAAAATGTGTGTGAACGTGTGCTGTGAAGAACTAACTGCGGCCCACTTACTAAAAGTTGCTCACTTTAACGTGCGTGTTGGCACCAGCCAGTAATCGTATGTTTTTCTCCTGGGCGTTTCTCTTCAGCTAGCCCTAGCTTGAGCATTTTTGCATCAACCCTCAAAAATTCTCAAATCTTTCAAATTAGCTTGTGAGCTCCTAGAATCATACTGAGACCTAGGTGTAATTATCAGAGAATCTCACCAAAAAGGAGTGGTAGACTAGTACCACTGAATTTCAAGCTAGTACAGCCAAATCTCCGCCAGAGCTATATACGAATAGAAGTATTCAAACAAACAAGGAGAGCTCAGCTAAACTACTAAGCAAGGCTGCTACTGTATACGCAGGCAGTATTGAAACCTGATTGAAATATGATACAGTATTGAAACCACTCTTGAGTTGGAGGTTGGTCTGTTTACCTGGCTGTATGGTGTGACTCACCACACTCAGTAGCTGGTAATAATATTTATTAGAACGCAGATTCATTTCCTACTGAAATGCTGAGCAGGCACTCAGCTATTTTTGTAGCAGACTGTAACAGAGCATGGTGAGGATCACTATTGTTATATGATGAGTTTTTGGCCTAATTTACATCATCAGAAATTTTGATTTGAATTCTTTAATATTCAGGGGGAGTCAAACTACCTGAATTCCGGGCTTCACAGGGAGCTGTGATATTGAAGTCTAGTTAGGCATTAAACTTATTTAAAAAAAAAAAAAAAGTTAAAAATGCTGATTACTAGAGTAATGAGAATAATAAGAAACTTTAATTATGAAATTCAGGTGGTAGAATTTTAAAGTGTGTGTAAAATTTAAATTGATTCTACTATGCTTCAGCTGACTTTAACTGCTAACTTCACAGGTGGAGATTTATTTCCTTTAGTGAAATGAAGGATTTCCTGGGCAATGGATTTCAACCTTTCCAGCATCGTTTCTGACTAGAGGTCACAGATATAACTGAATTGGCTAGAATTCTCTGTTTTGAAGTTATCATCTGTATACCAGAAATGGCTAAATTAAAGACAAATACTTGTTTTTCAGCTGTCACTGCTTCCATCTGCTGTTAACATCTGCTGAAATCACTAGTTTACTTTTTGTCGTTAACTGCGGCAGCAACCCGTGCAACTGTCACTGCTACAGGAACGGTAACCTACAGCAGAGCAAACAGAAGATACTTCAGTCATCAGAGATAAAGCTCTGGCTGAAGCAGTCAACATGACAAACATCAAAAATGCATCAGATAAGTGTTCCATATTCCACATTCACTGTTCCGTATATGTATTCAGATACAAAATAAGGTTTAGATGTACAAACGATGAGGCAGGGTAGAAAACATACCTACTTGAATTTTCAAGGTGTGGCTTCGTAAGGAATTTAACTCCTGCTTCCCCTCCCTCCATCTGCAACTGCCTCTCCCCTTCTATCAGTTCTGGGCTTGACTGACTCCTCCAGGACCTAGACAGCTGACAAATAACCAGGGTTTTCCCCGCTCCCTTAATTACAAGTATTTTTTCCTGTAAATCTGTTCATTGCAGGAGTGCCAGTACAAGGGAAGGGAGGGTTCAGTCAAGGGAAGAAATGCAGGAGCACTGACTTGGATAGACCTAAACTGCTGCAGACCCTCAAGCTGAGAAACAGAACTACGCTCTCCCTCGTTCTTGCTGTCACTAGGCGGAGTTTGTTCTTTCGTTAGGATAGATACCTGTCTGATTCAGGATACAGGAGAGGCAGCAGTGTCCCAGAAGAGGAACAGTGGCAATGACCAGCCTTACCTTTTCAACCCCTAGTCTAGCTCAGTTTTGTGAACGGTTCTTAACTCCACCTTTAGCCTACAGAGAGCCAGGACTACAGTATTAGTTTGGTGTTGTGAATCAGTGGGACACCATTCATTTTGCAGACTATATACCTTCTCAGACTCTTAATCCAGTCCTAAATTTGGGTTTAGACTTAATTATATTTGCTCAGAGTTTGCATTTATCTTCAGTTACTTCTTTAGAAGAACTGTGCTGGCAGTTCATTAGAGCAAGTGCTTTCAGACTGAGAACAGCACCACAATCAAGGGAAGGAGAGAGGAAGGACCTCCTTGGGATCAGACAACCTTGCAGTGATGGTATATATGAGGAGGGAATACAAGATCGAGAGAAAAAAGCAATGGAGGGAATAGCTGAAGGCTGAGGATCATTACAACCAGCACTGTAGGCCAGCAGTATTTATATATGCTGTTAAAAGAATTTGGCTGGCAGTATTCCAGTTAGCACAAAAATAGGAGGGAATCAAGGTCACCCATATTCTTCTGTAGTGCTCATTGAACTTGGCATGTGATATCATGCTTGAAATGTCCTCTTCCTTGTGCTGACTCTGATGTTTATGTGGCTGCGCAATCAGTTAGATCACAGAGTTGATTTGTCTGAAAAACAATCATTTAAGATGTTGTAGTAGTTAATTTTAGATCTCTGATCAAATCAACTGCAAGGTCCGTATAAGGAAGGCAGAGGGGAAAGAAAATTGCAAATTCAGATCAGATTATGCAGATTGTAGAGCTACAGTTTTTAGTGAAAAAATGTCTGTTTTGGCAGATGAAGGCAACTCACTATTCATTCATTAAGTCACTCGCTAAGCCACTGATTCTGTGCTAGTGGGAATACCTCTGCAAGATGACATTAAAGTTTTAAGAAACTGAATAAGCATGACTTCTTGGAGACAGAGTTTTTATACTATTGTAGTATAAGAAAGTTAAGATGCAGTCTAAGTTTCTCTTGGTACAGCTCTAGCTTCCACCTTCAGTTTTGATAACTAAAGGGTAGTTCACTTTGATAAGTAAAAGGGTTTTTAAGAAGTAAAGGGTATTCCATCAAACAAAGACTGATATTCAGAAAACTGTTTGTGGCATATTGCAAATACACCTCAATAATAATACACTCTTTGTGAAATCCAAGAAGAAAATGACATACAAAAGAAAGAGAACTGAAATAATCTCATAGACCTTAGGAAGGTAAGACAGCACAGTATCGAATGAAAAATTATACTTTACATATATGACATAAAAGCATCTGATCTACCTTTGAAAGACCTCAGGCTTTGAAAATGGTACTTTAAAAAAGAAACGTGGCTGGAACCTTAATTCAAGCACAGGCATACCACGACAGCTGTAATACTCAGGACTGCTCTTTTATTCTTCCGTTATGCAAGTCTTCAGGCTACCCTGAGGAAACCACACAATCAAAAGAGGCTTTTAATAACCAGACCACCACACCTATTCCTATCATTAGACAATACATTGTTTAGAAAAGACTGTCAGGAATTTAAATAACTTCAAGTTATACATAACAAGGAAGATCAGTGAAAACTTTCAAAGAGCAATTGATCTCTGGAAAACGAAGCCTAAAAATAGCACTGAACGTTTTCAGGAAAATAATCTAAAAAAAAGTTAACTTGTAAACAGGAACGCGCAAGCTTGCAAGAAAGCATGCCGTTTATGTGACTTCTCATCTTTTATCGATTGCCATTTTAAAGCTGTTAGCACAAAGTATAGAAAACATTCACTGAAGTTACTGATAAGGAAAAGATGTGAAATGTGTTGTTAAACAGCAGACTATTGTTTCTAGAGCCAATGGAAATAAGGCAATAACTACTGAAGCACCAGACTGAAAAAACAATCTGGAAACTTTGTTAGAATAGGAAACGAGCTTTCCTTGCTAAATGTATTTTGGTGTTAAGAGAATAGGGTGCCTGGTGCACCTTTGGCTAAAGCCAAAGATGGAGAAAAAGTCATGATCTCTGAGACATTCCTTGAGGTGGCTCAGTATTGTAGAATTTTGATGCTAACGTTGCACTATGATAAAGATAAATCAGATCTCCGACACTTCAGAAGGAATAGTTTCTCCCTCAAAGTTCTCCCTAATTGCCAGTGCTCCAAATTTGAAAGGGCATTGCTTTCTGCACATGAATAAGCGGCAATGTGGTCCCACTATTAACAACTAGTCTTTGGGTCTTGAAATTTGGTATTTTTTTCTTTTTTTCTATTTGTTTAAGAAGCTTGGAGGTCCTTGGAATGAGCAGTTGTGAGATGGCAGACTGGGTCTCTTGTTCAGCAATGAGGCCACCTGAATAAGCAGTGCTGGCTGCAGAAGTCATCTGGAGGACCTGATCCTCTCCCTATAGGAAGTGGGCTATTGGACTAAGTGTCCAAGGTATTGCCTTAATCCCAAAATTTAGAGCTAATATTACTGTAATTTGACAAGGTAAATCGTTGTCATGCATGCACTGGCCTCATTTTTCTCAAGAAAAACATTCTGGCATGCTCACAGAATTTAGCTTCTTAACCAGTCCAAGCAACTCACTAATCAAACTTTGCTCTATACTAAATATATGCTCTTGAGCACTAAGCATTACTCATTTTAAGCAATTTTAAGTTAGACAAAAGGAAAAAGACAACTCTTCCTATAGAACAGGCTTACTTAATAAATATGTCCCTTAATCACCAGTTGTTTGACCTCAGTTACAGGAAAACTCCAATGGCTATAAACGTGTAGATCTGTCAGTAGACACACAGATATGGTTCTCTGGGTTAAACGCTAGCCACTCAAGTGCCTGTAAGGAGAGAAAAGTTGAATTCAGCGTGTTATTTGGGAAATATGACTTAATTCTTTAGCTCTGTTTTTCTGTGTCTCTTTTTCTGCATGTAATGTCAATTTCTTATCTAACAACAGCTTTTAAAGAAATTTGACTATAAAAGAAAAAGCCCGCAGATTTGCACACACCTCATGATATGAACTCTCCGTAGCTTTAATATTTCAGCATTCTCAGTTAATTTCAGAGATAGAGGAAGCTTAAAAATCAACACTGCTATTCTGAGACCATACATATACAACTGTCACAGAATCACTTAGAAATGTTAATCTCCGCATTCTGTCACTAGCAGGCCCATCATCAGTCAGTTATATGTTGTCAAGACAGTTTAAGATAGAAAGATTACGTGGTGTCATATGTACGTTTACAAGCTTTCTGTTATGTAATATTCTTGGTAAAAAATTGGATTAAAACAATGATAAGGTTGAATTCGCTTATGAACTCGGGCATAGGGTAACAGAGACACTTCAAGTATTTCCAAAGTACACACTGTAAACTTATACAGTTCAAAGCACCCCCCTCAAAAAACAAATAAAATGAAGAGCTGTATGGGTGTGTGTATACGTATACATAGACATACAAATTGGTCACCAAGAAAATAAAAAACATCAGTGATTTAAGGCATTATCTCCCCCCCACCACACAACACACACTTCATTATTGCCCCTCTGCCAGAACTTAGTATACTAACAAAATGAGGATACTAAGCACAGGTTCTCAGTTTATTTGGAGGCAGTAGGAGCCTGCAAAGGAGCCATGCAGACAGATGGGAGCGCTACAGTCAGCAGGAGTTGCCAGAACTTGACACTCCACAATAAAACGTGAAGTAGTGCAGTTAAGGGCACAGAACTTCCCCATCTCCTGTAGTTATACCATGCGAAACCATATTGTTATAGTATTTTAGAGTGTTTTTGTCAAAGCAGTAAGGGCACATTGGTTTCTTTCTTAGGACACCATTGTTGGGTACCATTAAGACTACCAGATTTTTTACAATAGGTGTTTACCCTTTAAAAATCCCTTAAATATAACTTTGGTTCTATAACTGTGAATACTATTACTATTTATATACAATACAGCTTTAAAAAACACTTACATTTTCCTCTGCTTTGTATCAGTGATCCTTGTCAAATAATCTTTTGTACTTTTAGCAAAAGGAAATTTGCAGTCAAGGTGTATTATTGTTCTGTTTTACAGTGAACTTTTTCCCCATCTGCAGAAGCAGAGGAAATAATACAGTGAAGTTTTTAGTTTAACATTTACTCATAGTCCTTCCCATCTCTTTCACTGGTATGCTTTGCTATACTTAGAAATTCTGTTTGAAAGATATCTACAGTAACATAAGATTACTTACACGTGAATTAAAATGGCCGTCAAGGAAACTGTTTCTCACCTAAGACTTTTAAAGAAATTAATTTTCTGTATTAGTTTAATAGAGTAAATGGAACTTTCAGCACAGATATATTTCAGAATAGCTATTGCAGAATAGTTATGCATGCTGGCTAACTTGGAAAGTACTTGAAAAACAACCAGCAGGAAGGAAGCCAAGTGAAAAATAACTTATCCTAGTAGATAGAGCCCTTTCACTTCCACAGCAGTTGTAACTTGGGACTAGGAATATTGACTACAATAACTTGCATCTTATTTTTAAGCTTCAGCTGAGCTCCTCAGTGTCTTAGCTTAAGAAACTGATGCCTTGATTACTGTGAGGGGAAAAGCACTCTGTGCTCTTGAGTGAGAGGCTGTATGTACAGCAACCAGAGTTATTATCACAGCCTGGCTAAATATGCACATGAACAATCAAAAAGACAGAATTGTGTTTCAGTAATGAAACTGGACCCTTTTATATTTTCTCCATTTAAGTCAGTCAGTCACGGAGGAACCCTCACTGCTATCCATTTTTTCCTATTTTGGCAATTCTGAGTTATTATACTTCCTATTAAACTCTACCACATCTGCATTGCAGCTATTAGTACATTTCCTTAATGTTACGTACAATTCAGTCAACTTAGACTCGTTGGGGATAATACACTAGCTCACCGCTGGGTGGTACTACGCAAATAAGAACAATTTAGAAATACTTCAGAAATGCCTACTTTGGCAAGAAGCGGCAGCCAAGCTATACAGTGTATTCCCATACATACATCTGCTAGAGAGAGCGCGTGCGCGTGTGAGAGAGAGAGACGGGGAGAGTGTTAAGAGTTACAGAGAGCCTGAAAGAGCGGTAGAGAGAAAGTGTTAGACAGAGGGAGAGCGTTGGGGAGAGTTAGAGCGCGTGACAGAGCGGGTGCCAAGGTGTGAGAGCGCGTGTGCGCGCTCGAGCGCGGGACAGAGCATGTTAGTTCGGCTGCGTGTGGCAGCGTGCTTGAGAGTATGCGAGAGCGAGCAGGGCGGGAGGTTATTTATGATTTTCATGGCAAAGATGTCTTATTTTATACTGGAAACTGCTGCCTGCCTGATAACTTGTCTTCCGGGGGGGGTTGAGATCCTGCAGAAAACATGCACCTAACAGAAGCGAGCGGGGAGTTGCATCGACATGAATTATATGACTTTATTAAAAACAAACAAACCAACCAACACACATCCAAAGCCAGGTAACTTCAATTGGAGATCTCCATTCTTTTGAAAAATTAAAAGTTACCTTTTCAAAAAAAAAAAAAAAAAAAACAGTATTTCCAACTGCTTACAGAAGCAGTGCTTGCAGACAGCTGCCCGTTACACCCACGGAAGGCACCAAGGGGACAAGTCCTGTTGCAGCACGACCAACAACCTCGCCGCACAGGAGGGCGAACCATCACCT